ACCGCACCGCACCGCACTGCATATCAGCACGCAGCATTGCACCGCACATCAGCACGCAGCATTGCACCGCGCATCAGCGCATTGCACGGCACGGCACCGCACTGCACATCAGCACACAACACTGCACTGCACCGCACTGCACTGGACTGTACCGCACCGCACAGCACATCAGCTCACAGCACTGCACCGCACAGCACCACACCGCACAGCACAGCACCGCACAGCACAGCACCACACAGCACAGCACCGCACAGCACCACACCGAACCGCACTGCACCGCACAGCACAGCACCACACAGCACAGCACCGCACAGCACAGCACCGCACAGCACCACACCGAACCGCACTGCACCGCACAGCACAGCACTGCACAGCACAGCACCGCACAGCACCACACAGCACCACACCGCATAGCACCGCACAGCACCGCACATCAGCTCACAGCACTGCACCGCACAGCACCACACCGAACTGCTCTGCACCGCACATCAGCACACAGCACCACACAGCACAGCACCGCACATCAGCACACAGCACCGCACAGCACAGCACAGCACAGCACTGCACATCAGCACACAGCGCTGCACCGCACAGCACCACACCGAACCACACAGCACCGCACAGCACAGCACACAGCACCGCACATCAGCACACAGCACTGCACCACACCGCACAGCACAGCTCTGCACCGCACTGCACTGCACAGCACAGCACAGCACCGCACAGCACCGCACATCAGCACACAGCACTGCACCGCACCACACAGCACAGCTCTGCACAGCACGTCCCTGCACTGCGCCATGCAGTGTACATTCTTACACGCTGCTCACAGTGTGTGAATATTTATAAAGAATATTTAACAGAGAGGATGGAAGATTAAGGGTGCTGTTCTGCAGGTGTGGTATTAAGTACACCAGTCATGGGAGAAATCATTCCTTCTGCTGCACTGGTATTGCAGTCTCCTGAGATTCTATTTGTGTTCAGCATTTTAGAGCTCAGCAGCTCCAATAAGAGGACTTACAATTTATCAGTGGGCAAGACTCCAGTTGCTTCCCCTCAGCAGGCAGCCAGAGGCTATGCCAAGCAGTGCATTTCAGCTTTTTGTATGTTACTTATGATGCTGGTGAATGAGACAGGAACTTTGATGAGTGCTCACCAGAGAGATGAAATTGCTAGGGCACAATTTACAGCAGGAAAATGGAAGAGAGGTCCATCTGTGGAGAGCCAGCAGCAAGGTGGGAGATAAGAAAATGCATTTGCAAAGTGAACAGCAATGGAACATGGAAGAAAAGAGACCTGCAGCTGGGTGTGTGCTTCCAGGAAACAGCAGTCGGGCCAAGACACATGACTGCTGTGTATTGCAGTAAATCTGTGCCTGTAGATGAATGTGCACATCCAAATAGTTCAGGTTGCTTCACAGCTTAACTATGAAAAGCATCACAACCTCTCCTTTGCTTTTAATGTTGAACTACACCTGTAGCTGGTAGGAGCCAATTAGCTTCATCAAGAGCTGTGCTGATCTGTACAGTCTCACCTCTCACATTTGAAGTGATTGTCCACAAGTAGCTTTTGTACTTCAACTACTTTAGCTATTCCTGAACTTTCAGGAGACTTCTCTATATTTACAGCTTATAATTTATATTTATTTTTAGCCACAGGTTTTTAATATACATAGCCAAATGTTCCTAAGCTCAAGCAAACCCAAAACTTGCTCCTAAAGTTCTGAAAGGTTCTTTTGATCTGTTACAGCTGTGTTGGGTATACAACCCTTAACATTATTATTCTTAGTTTGATTTGGATAACACAGACCCATTTCTATCAACTGAAAACCAGACTGGACTTACAGGGAGGCCCACCCCTTCAAAAAACCCTCCCAAAAACCCCCAGCAAAATCACCTGCAAATAAAAGGGGCAATTTTTGCTGTTTAGAAAATTAATAGATTTCCATACTCACTGGTTTTTACCTGTTTCTGGAAGAAAAAATGTTGAAGCAGTGGGTCTTCATTGAACCTCAACAAGAAAAGAAGTTACCTGAGAAGTCAGATCTTTCGGTGGCAAGGAAGGGGTAGCTAGAGTGTTGCAACTACACTTTCATCTTTTCTGGATTCCTTCACAGGGAGCTTAGAATCTCCATAACTTTAGGAAGTCTCCCTTATTTGCACCTATTTGAGTGATTTTTTTCCTTTGGTACAAGGACAAAGAAAGAAACAAAGTCTCTTTGAGCCAAAAAATGGAATAAGTGTAGCTTTTCCTTCACTTTGACTGACTGCAGTAGTTGTCACTCTTCCTTTTCCCTCCCCAATGCTCCTTCCTCAGGCCACCTGTTTTGCTCAATCTCTTTGCAATAATGAGAAATACCAGGTGATAAAATTGGACAAAAGGCCTTTTGTAAAGCAATGCTCATGCATTATATTTTTTTCATTTATTTTATTTTTATTTTATACCGACTTTTTAGAAAGTAGCATAACAAATGCCTTTTTAGAAAACGTGCTAACCTGTTTCTTGTAAACACATGAGTGTTAGTTACCAGGCTGAGATAGAGCAGAAGTCCTTAACACTTGCTATTTAAAAAAACCCAAACAACAAAACCTCCCAGAAGGTATTTGTTATCCAACACTCCTGTTTCCACTGAAGTATATGAAGGCAGAGTTTCTGACTGATCCCTAATGGGAGGAAAGATGTGTGCTAATGTCCTTACAAACAATTCCATGGATGAGGGTATGGCCGTTAAGGTCTTTGAAATGGGTCTCAATATCTTTACTAACCTCAAGCAGCAAGTTTGTTGCACAGCCCAGACAGCTTTGCTCCTGAAACAGGCAAGGATCTACACGAGCCTGAATGTCAGGGTAAAATGACAGGTTCAAGGGGGGATATGTGGTAGGCAGTTCGGAAAGGCTGTACCTTCCTAGTACCTCAGCCAGTGGGGTAACGTGCGGCAACGCGAAGAGGGCAATGTGTGGCTGGGAGTTCAGGATCAAAGGAGGCTGCGCACTACGAAACAGAGAGAAAACTCCATGGGTGTGTGCCCCAGGGGACTCTCCCTCCCTTTATTCTAATCAAGTTGTAGGAGTCCTGTGTCTCCTTTTTGGACATAAACCTCTGGCATTTGTGGATTAATTTTCCTGATACTAGGATCTGATCCTGCAAGGCACGGAGCAGTTCAGCCCTCCTGTCATGGCGGTAGAAGAACAGTCAGCCTGTTGTATCATTTGGATCCTTCAACAATCAAGAGTAGTATGAGGCAGTAGAAAATTTGATCTTGTATGGGAAGGGTTGGCTTATCTTTTGAGTGACAAAGGTATTGACTTAATTTATTTTGGTATCCTTAAAAGCAAAGGTAAAGCAGAGTCATGCTCAGTAGCTTAACACTCACACTGATTTTAAATGAGGAAAGATTTACCCACCTTGGGTTTATCTACGGGCTGTGTATGATTGAAGTGTCATGTTTGATTCTAACCCCAACATACAAGGAATGTATCTATGTGAGGGACAGTCACTATTGTATCTCTCTGTAGCACTGATTTTGGACAGAGGGTTTAGCTTGGTTTTAGGTAAAATTTATGTGCTCCCCCTCTAACTGGATTACATGCTTTTCTGTAAACAGTACTCATGCTAGAGGAATTTCACATTAAAACTATAAGATTAGAAAATCATATGGATATTTAAAAATATTTGAAAGCAGTAAGAAAAACATAATTTCTCTCTAAAAGAAACACAACATTTGAAGCAGAATAATATTTTAATAAAATTAAATCTAAGTATTCACAAAGCATTATGCACATACAGTACATACTGTATTTAAAGCCTACAGACCTTAGATCATTTTATTCTAATGTAGTCAGCTTTGGACACAAGCTAAGCTTACTCATTTTGTAATAAGAAAGTTTACAATTGTTTCTGAAAGTGATTTTACATATATACATATATATATATATATATAGCTCTATATCTATACTCCTACATGTAAGTGTAGGTATATACACGCACTTGTGTGTATGTGTGTATATAAATATATATACACATACACATACATACACACCTATGTACAGCTATAAAATACACACACGCACACGTCCACAGCACCTGTGGGGGGGTGTGTGTGTGTGTGAGCATTGTAGAGGGGCCAGTCAGTACAAAGAGGTAACTGCAAACAGCCACCCTAATAATTATATAACAAAAATGTGTAAAATATTTTTAAATTAAAACATTGTTAATAATTTGTATTGAACAAAAGGAACGCAGTCTTCTGCATTACATAGAAATTAGGTTTATTGCATTTGATTATGTTTGTGTGACAGATGAAGAGCACCTGTCTGCTCATCACAGCTGAATTCTATGATGCAATTAAAAAAATAACAGTACAAAAATCAAAACCCAAAATGTGATGGAAACAAATGATTCAATTTAATGCAGTTTGTGGATGTGACCTATGGTGATACTTTCCACCATATGGCAGTTTTCCTCTCTGTTAAAATACTACCCTACTTTAACTAGTTTGAAAGGAGGCTGTGTTCCCTGTCCTAATTGTTTCAAGCCCAGAAGATTTGGTTACCCTATTCTTTCTTTAGATTCAGACCCATTGTGATGTAGTAGAAAAAGCTCACTACAAGAAAGATAAATCAAGTTCCAAAAGTGAGCTAGAGGAGCACTTTTCTTGAATTTTAGCTTGGTCAGGTAGGAGTTTTTCTACGTGAATTATTGTTATTGGTCTCCTATTTGCTCTGAACACATATCCACAATAAAATACTATTTCCATGACAGCAGTAAATGGTAATCTCCATGCAACGTAAACTGTAATTTCAGAACATGCATGTTATTTAAAAAAAATAAAAATATAAGGTGCCTTGAGAATGCTGGCAGTTTTACATTTGGAACATACAGTTAGTGTGTGTGTATATATATATTTACATCAGAACTGCTCAACTTTACCTTACAAGCTTCAGATTTAGGAAAATATACAGTACTTTTGCATATAATGGTATATTCCTTGTAGCCCCTGAGTCAAGTATAGAGGATTTAAATAAAAAAAAAAAAAAGGAGAAACAGCCATTAAAAGCACTTACATTTTTATGTGAAATAATAGTATAAAAGTACTATTTCCCAGGAAGACCAGGATCAGAAACATGCCTATGAAGACTCAAGATTCCTACAGTGCTTAGTGAAGATTCTGGCAAGGAAGGGTGCCTAATTGGAGGGAGACAAGTTTTACAAGGCTGTGGGGGTGGCTCTACAGACTGGTCACGTTCTTGGTCTAAAAAAGAAGCCAGGTTGTCTTCTGAGGCTGTGTTCAGATGCACTCCACTTGAGGATTCTTTGGATTTCAGTTTTGATTTTTCAACATCTGAAATTTCAGGACACTGTAAGGGAAGAGAAAAAACAAGATGGTAATAATTACATTGGTCTCTTCCAGGCCCTTGTTCTGTTCAAAATTAGCAGATTCAGATGGTTGATGGAAAATAATTTTTGAAAATTAAACAGTGTAGAAATATTTTTTTTACATGGTACTGCATTTGATTTAATGTAATTGAATGCAATTCTGCTGATTAATTGTAGAAGTCTGGATATCTTTTCCTCCCCTCAGACTTGCTAATATGACATCAAGATACACATATTAGCAGCCCTTTCTGAAGGACTGATTACTCTTGAGACCCAGTCTAAGAGTATGGATATCAACATTCTGGAATAGGAAGTTCTGTTTTAGAGCATAACTCCAGAATTGCATAATTCTGGACATTCTAACCACTTGGATTCCTTTTCTGCTAACTTTTATAAAAAAAATGACAATGAAGTAAATCTGTCTGATTATAAGATCATTGTATGAATCTCTACAACCCTCATAGAAAATGTGGCCTCTGAAACTGTGGTGTTTAAGCCCACTGTGAAGGTACTAGGTCAAAATAATAATTTCATATTCCTTAAACTAGTGAACCAGCACCGGATTGGTGCATTTCTTCCTCATAAGATAAGAAGACTAGGAAACCTCTTTTGATCTTATGGACATGTACTTACCTGAGATGAAGGACTGAAACTTCTGTCTGTTTTAATTGATGCTGCAGGCTGAAGCTTTTGTATGACCCGGACTGCTGGCTCTTGATACTCTGCACTTGCAGTCACCATGCTATAGGCAGGTGGAATGAGTGTTGACTGCCTTTGCAGAAGCTGCAGGATGGTTTGGATATCAGCAGTCATTTGGGATTCAAGCCTAGAGAGGGAACATGAAATCAGTTAGCTCATGGCCAGAAACAGGTGTATTTTATGCACTGCTTACAGAGGTCCTCAAGAGGGACCTGCAGTTTCCCAGTAAAACCATTGCTTGTTGCGGCTTGAACATGTCTTAAAAAGGAGAGAACAGTAGAGGGAGTACGGAGCCCTTCCAAAGCTTCTGGCTCTCCCTTTCCCTTGCAGAACATACCTGCGAGCTTTTCTCTGGTTTTTGCTACACTGAGTTCATCACTCTGCCTTAGATTTGCAACAAGAAGCAACACAGGGGACTGGGTATCTGGTTGAAAATAACTGGAATAAATGTATTCTCTTCATTGTGACTAAATTGATTTGTGCTGGCTGGGCATGGGACATTATTTTGATGCATCTGACAAGGCATTCTGACATGCTGATACAATGCACTGAACTAAGCAGAAAGCGCATTTGTGTTTTTCCACAGTTAGAAAAAGAAAGATGCTTCCAAAACCATTAAAAATCCAACTGCCCAATTCTCATTAGTGTGAAAATTTATTCAAACTTATGCAGTCCTCAGAATTAATGTCAGCATTTCTAATGTTCAAATTTTGTACATTTAAAAATGTTTTTCACCTTTTTATAAATTTGTATATGACTTCTGAAACACTTGAGCTGATTATTTTGTTCATACTTACAACTCCATAGCACTGAAATGATTTTTAAATGGTCTTGCCAAAACCTGTGACAAACTCAGGAAAAGGTAATGCCTTTTGTACCTTCCCAGCTGCTGGAAGGCTACAGCACATGCTGACAGATGGTAATGCAGATAATACAGCCTTCTGTACAGCAACTGAGCTTCTGACAGAGTAAACAAATCTTTGTCAGCAGCCTTTAATGTTGTGAATGTTACTACTTGGGCTCCCTACAGTAGCAGAATTGATCCCGTGCTGTCAGATTTTTGCTTTTACCATGTGCTCACTGATGTTATTTTTTTATCCTGTTGTAGTTGTCCATTGCCTGTATAATTTATTTATAAAAGTATCTGTGAAATTAATCCAAAAGGTATGACTGAAGTGTATTTGGGATGCTGTTTCTTCCTTCATCAGAAAAAGATGATTTTGTGGCATCAGCTCCCAGAAAAAAAACAGGCCAAACCCAGACTTCTGACTGTTAGAGTCAGATGTGCCCTACTTGCCCTCTTGGTCAGCACCCTTGGGTTCTTTGCTACTTGCCAATGTGCTGTTCTCACACAAGCACAGTGCTGATGCCACAGAATGAAATGCTGCAGGAACATGCCACCATCCAGAGAACTTCCATCTGCTATACCTGGGTCTTAACCCCTCAGTGAATAAAAGGTAACATTGGAGGATATCCATTCAAGATTATTTTTGGCTTTGAATTAACTCTAAAATTGCTCCCCTCTTACTTTGTTAGTACTTGAATGTTTCCTTGTACTTCAAATGAAAGAGTGTCTCTGGTAGTGTTTATTTATCATCATTGCATATAAAGGTTCACTTTCCATTCTCCAAAATTTAAAACAAATCCATGCTACCCAAACAAATAGGAGAACTGGCCTAAATGCTAGGCCCATAGTGTCCATGAAATTCCAATTGCTTAAAGAGAAGAAACAGAGAGAATTCTAGGGACATATACCTTGTACATAGAGGGCTGGAAAGCCCTCTGTGTCAATTTAATAATTGAGTGTTATGCCAAGCCTCTAACTTGGCATGGAAAAATTCAGGGAGAAGTGACCATGCTTTTTAAGCTAGCAAGTCAGAAGTGACAAAGGCAGGAAAGGATATTGTCTGTTATATTAGTAGAAAACCCAGCAAGGCCCCAAATACCAAAAGCATGAAAAGCTTTTAAATCATGAGAATAGTTTAAAGTGATATAATAAAATACATAAAAATTTAATTCTTAGTTTATCAGCAACAATTATATTTTCTGACAGAATACTGACAACTTGCATGATAAAACGATGGTAACTTTGAGGTATAACTTCAGTTTTGAGAGCTTAAGGTTTCAGGAAATGAAATGTTACCAAAAGACTATGTATTGTTGATGGGGATCCTGCAAGCATATAGTTATGTGACATTTGCAGCTACTTAGATCACTTGATTTTAACTAGAAATTACAGCAATTTAGGGTTAAGTGTTAAAAATGTTAAAAATTGTGTTAAAAGTGTTAAAAATTTTTAATGCATTATGCCATATTCAGGAATGTAAAATACTGTTGTTTGATTGGCTTTTGGTGGATGAAGGAATCAATATGCAGTTAACTTGGCTTTAAACTGATTGCTAAAATATACAGCGCAGAATGCCACTGAATAGCTACTAAAGTATGATTAGGACTGAGTGTGTTTCATAGTATTTGTCATGGAAAAATATTAAAAGTAATGAAAATATAGAGTGAAAATAATGAAAAAATCAATGGTCCTGAGGCTAGGTCAATTTAAGTGAAGTTACATGGTAAATTACAGTGCAGGATGGATCAAAATTTTGTAACCATATTTTTAAGATGCTGTAAGCTGTGCTGCTTAGCTGCCAGTAAAGCAAGATATATTAAGCATAATATATATTAATACTAATTTCTATTAATAATATAATAATATCTAATAATATCTATTAATATATAATAATATAATATATATATTAAGCATAATATATATATTAGGCACCATATATTAAGCAAAAGTGATATTGGATTTTTATCCAATATTGGAAAGTATAATTTTTCTGTTGTAACAGGTATAAGTATTGTGCTTTTGCATATTCCCATGTCTTACTTATTATAGAGTGCAAAAAGAGTTAACGCATCAAAAAGGGAATTCATCTGCAATACATTTTAAAAAGCAGGCAGCTGGTGTACTTTGAGTCTCCAGGAAAGAAAAAGTACTTCACATCTTGAAGATACTGAAAATTGCTGTTTTGTGTCCCTGCCCGTGGCAGGCGGTCGGAACTAGGTGATCTTTAATGTCCTTTCTAACCCAAATTGTTAGATGGTTCTGTGATCTAGGAACAGCACTCTTGATGAGGTGAGATTTAAATTTAACAATTTGAGGCCTCTCAGTACAACTTCTTGGTTAAAAAGATGGTCTAAAACAGTCAGCTGAGGAAAAGGGCTTTATTGCAAAGCCATTCAGAGTAGCTAATGTGCATATCTAGAGGCAAAAGACATGAATATTCTGGCAATGTTTAAAAACTGTGTATTCAGATTTCCCAGAATTGGTTTTTCCAAGATTCTGGAAAGCCTAACTTAGGTGATATACAGCCTCCGCAGAATACATACACACAAAAAAAGTGATATTCCCATTACGCATATTTTTGTATTTTTGAGCTTCTGAAGATCTGAATGCTTTTGGAAACTTCCTGCACAAACTCATTCCTTCTGTAGCATCTTCAATATCAGTTGTATTATGTACTCTTTCACACATAGGCTCTTTTCTCTTTGTTTTTACCTGTTAAGTTGTTCTTGAAGTAAATCTAATCGATTCTCCACTTCCCCGTATATAAAATCACTTTCAGTTTCGCAGATTCCCCATGTAACATGGGATAATGCTGGTTGAACTGGGGAGTCCTGGTACTCCTGGATGTTCTCCTGCTCCCAGTTTCTTTTGTTGATGTCTGATAAAAAAACCCAAAAACAACATATAAAAGTATAGTTTTATATAAATAGATTTAGAGAGGTTGACACTTCTCAAGCATCCTACTTACTGAGTTTCTCAAAACATTGAAAGTTAAATTGGTACATTAGCCAGAGAGACTGAACATCTCTCTTTGTTCCTTAATACTCCTTAAGGAAAGATAAAAGTGGTCACATACATGCTAACATTTTGAAGCTGCAAATAAACAAGCAGCTTTTTCTAGTCAGCAGCATCAGAGTTCTGCCACTGAATGGCTTCTCTTTAGTTTTGTTTCAAGTATTTTACAAATGGATCCCAAATTTTCTCAGTGTATTTTTTAGCAATTTTTTTATTCAGTGAAAATAGAAATTCTTGTTCTAACCTAAAGACTTTAAATGATGTACTTGAATGTCTTTGATAGTGTGCTTCAGAGGCCTAAGATGCCTTCTCTTGCCCTTGAATATGCTATTGAAGTGTATTCACTGCTTAGCTCTTTGGTGTGAAAGAAGGATTCGCTGCATTAAAATTGCACCACTGGGCATGTGGTACAGTGCCTTGGAATGTCCCCTCTAGAGAAAGATGCCAGGCCTCAGGGAGATGCCTTTCTTACCCAGAACTGCAACACTTCTTAGGTTGGTGAAGTGTAATATGTTTTCTCTGAGACAAGGGCCATTTAATGCAGCTCATGCTGCTAGCAAAAGGGTACTGCTTATTATTCTCATAAAGGAAACTGATTTTTATTGATGTTGCTTTTAGCATCACTACTCTCCCACCCAATCTGTTCACCCCTGTGTAAAGCACATCTCTGAAGCTCCTACGGTACTGTGGGGTGAAAGGTGCCTGTTCATTTTGTTTAAGGATTTCAGACTCCTAAAAGAATAAAATATTCAGCATTTCTGGGTCAGCCAGAGATCACTTTGATATTAAATGAAGCTTCGTAGTAAACATGATGTATCTAAAAATACTCCTTATATGAGTAATTTATATTTGTTTCTTTACATCCAGCCCCTTGTAAAAAAAATGATGATGCTTATTCCAGGTCTTACCTTGTACCTGCTGCACCCAAATTTCATCCCTCTTGACCCTCCCAGTTCTTGGTTCTCTGTGACCAAGCACTACACATGACTACCAAACAGAGCTCAGGGACACTCTTTCCTTTTGCCTGGATTTCTGGTTTGGCCTATTTCTCTTTCCTCTCTCAGTTTACTTAATTTATGCATCTGTGGATTTATTAATTAGTTACATTCTTGGCTTTATGCCATTTCTCCTGTTCACCAAGTTGTTGAAAGGTTACACCTCAATTATCATGGGAATATACTTGTTGCACTTATTGTATAGAATGAAGATCTTGCTGGGACCTTTGCAGAGCCTACAGGTGACGTAGTTGAGCAGTCCTTTTTCTACAGCAAACCCTGCTCTCCATAGCCTTTGTTTACTCTGAGTTAATCAGTCAATCAAACAGTAAAAACTGGTCAGAATCACTCATTCTTCTTTGATGTGATAAAAAAAAGTCTGTTTAAATTTTAACATCTGCTCAATACTATTCCCATTAGAGTTGTATTTGTAATTATTTAACTACAGGAAGTTATACAATAAATTAAACTTCTTGTTGCACCCAGGCTGCTGCTTCAGCATACAGCTGGGCAAAATCCTTGACTGCTTGTAAGACATCTGCAGTTGGATTTGAATCCCACATCAGTCCCTGAATGATTTGCTCAGAGCTTCTCCTTACACTTCACTTGGCACTGCACGCTGTTAACTCAGCATAGGTTACATTCATTTCACACTTGTGAAATTTTTCTAAGTAACCATAGCAGCTAGAGCCATGTTTCAAAGAGAAGAGAAAAAACCCCACACTGTGGGTAACATGGAAGAGCTTTGTCCAAATGCTAATAGCTAATCCTTTTCAAACGTGTCATTGAGCAGTGTTTCTCTAAGTAAAGAAAAAAAAAGTTCCCACTCAGATTTAGTATTTCAAGTAGATTTAGCCAGGAAGGGGAGCTCTCACTACATGATTCCAAGTGTAGGAGATTTTCTTCTCTCTCTGTATTTTTTTTTTGTTTGTTTGTTTGTTTTTATCAGCAAAAGGTCGTTATTGTATTATCTGATCTTTGGTTAGCAGGTGGTAGAAGGTTTCCTGGAGCTGTAGAGTGTTTGGATTTCATCTGACGACCAGTAACTGATTTTATGCACTGGGCAGAAGCAAGAGGAAAGAGATTTCATCTTGGCTACACAGAACTCTGTTCTGCTTCTCAGGAACTTAAGCCAATGGAAATAAAGAGATAAAGGGTGTCACAGAAGCATTTGGCAATTTGGTTTTAGGAGGCACATGTGGTACAATTTGCAGTGTCCAAGGAAAAGCTGGAAATCTCTCATCAAACTGAATGAAGCATACTATGAAAAATTGAGGGGTAAAGTTTCAAACTATGAGTTTAGGTGCAATGGGTTTTGTAGATCCAGCAGACTTATAAGCAGTGAATTTCAAAAGCATTTCACTGCTTTTAAATGTCCTGTAAAAACATCGATGTTGTAAAAAAAAGACGTTGGTTATTTTAAACAGTAAATCATTCATTAAAATCACAGATTTTCAATTTCGTGGATTATCCTGGGGAAATCACAGCTGTTTTTTTCCCAGAATATGTATTTGGAGACTATTGTAATAGATGCTTAATTTGTGACAAAGCAAATGATTTGGCACTGAAACAACAAAATAAGTTCACACTCCATAAGCAAGTTAACACTCTATAAAATATGGTGTAACTCATGTAAATGTCTTTTCAGGTATTCCATATTTTTTAATAACCCCAAAAAACCCCATCAGCAGCTACAACTGTATAACCTACTCTGGTCTTCCAGGGCTTGAAGAATCTTAGACTGGAAACTAAGTCAATAAATGTATCACTAGGTTCACCAGAAGAATTGAAGAATCAGTCTTTTAGCCCAAATAATGACCAAGTGAAAATAGCATTTTTCTTTTACATAGAGCTAACAGCTACAGAAAAATTCTCAGATCTACACAAAAGAACCATATGTTCAAAAGTTAAAAGTTGCATTCTAAGATTATGAGTGAGACTTTTATACTGCTTCTGCCAAATTATACAATGCATTTTTAATTTTCTTTCCATTCATTGAAGTAATGACCAAGGCTTAAAACAAAACAAAAAATAATTAAATGCGTATCAGTCACAGTGGTAATGAATTAGACTAGCTTTATACAAGTGCATTTGTATCCAAGATTTATAAGACACTACAATATATGAGGATACATAAAAGCAGAGTGTTTTTTCACAAGTTTATTATGTTTGTAACTACTCTTATGGTAAGTTATAATCAATCTCTAATTCTAATAACAGAAGTAAAAATTCAGTTTAAAACATATATCAGGAAAAGCTAATCTTATTGACCTTGAAGGTTTTATAAATGTTGCAAGAAAGCTCATTACCTTGAATAACATTACTAGAAGGGCTAAATTACAAAGTGGGAAAAAGTGTGGTCTTAATCAAAATTTGTAACCTTTAGATATGCTAAATTTAGCTCAAATAAAATGTGCAATAGGTTGCCTTGGAAAATGTTGCCATAGCTGCAAGGACACATTTCTGGCTATTGGTAGGGGGAAGGAAAGGTTTCCAGTTGGAGTATGTATGCAACAAGTTTATGTGGTGTGGATTTATAGGGCCTTAACTTGAAGAGATCACACTTCACATATTCATACCTTTAAGATGTTAAAATCATTGTTTGGTCTAATTAATCATTAGGCTTATTTCAAATGATAGCCTAGAAGCCTAAAGTTTATTAAATGATGGTTAAATGGTTAAAGTGTCTCAATGGAAACTGCTGAGGAAAACAGCATCAAACAATAACTATGTGATTCTTCCCTTCAGACTGAAAGAATTACAAATGAACTTGCAGCAATATTTAAATTGTATATTAATACAGGGTTTTCCATTAATTTCCTTTCACTTCACTGAGAAAATTAATATTTTAGTATATTAGATATAATTTTAATGATGTGATTTAAGTCTATGTAAAAGTATCTGAGATTGTTAAATAGTTCCTGATCATTTGTCATCTACAAAAGCTCAAGTCTTTATTCTTGTGTGTTACTTTTGGAAGTCATGATTTTCTTCTGTGTGGTGTAATGGCACTCCTTTAACCAACAGGTGCAGCAAGACAGGATAGCCTTCTTTCAAGCTATTATGATTTTTTTTCACTTAATTTTTGTTGTGCCTTGCCAATGCAGTGAATAAAATTAGTTATCTGCAAACATATTTTTGGTGCCTGTGCAACTATCATTATGTTTAGCTAGTCTGACTCTCACTATCTATAATTTTATACCGCCATCAACCCTGGCACATCAAATGTCCTTTGGGAGATACTGTATTGCTTTGAGTGCAGCTATCATCAGTGGGCACACAGTGGAGTCCAACACTAGTGGACAATTTTGTAGTTTGTTTAAATTATTTATGTAGTTCAGTTACAAGATGATTTGTAGCAAAACCTATAATGACTTTTTGGAGGTTGTACAAGCCAGTCCAACAGAACTGGAATCCAGTTCCCACTGAATTAAACTATATTAATCCTCTCGAGAAATAATAATTTTTGATCTAAGATATTTTTTCTTAAGATTTTTGGAGTAAATATTATGTAAAGAATCAAGAGAACCATTCAGAAAGTTATTTTTGTTAATCAGACTAAAAAGATGTCTGCTCAAACTTTACTAAAGAGAAACAGCTGGATTACCTTTGCAAGAACTGCTTCTTTTGTCAATAAGAATTTCTTCTGTGTCATGATCCATTTCTTCAAAGTCCATCTCTGTGGTTTTCTCTGTTACAGATGGGTAATCAGCTATCCCAGAGAACAGGGGCTTTTGCTCATCTTCAATGGAGGACACAAAAGATGATGACCCGCTTTTTTTCTCCTCAAAATGTTTCTTAATAGATTGATAGTATCTGGTACTGTCTCCTGATGGTTCAGGATCACTCTGATCATTCTCTTTGAAATAATCTGTGAAAGAGAAATAATTGTATCCAAAAATAAGCAATTATTGAGAGTTTATTCTAGTTTATTATGATCTGAGGATGGACACGATTCTTATATCAAGTAGGAAGTTCACTGTCTAGTAGAAAAAAAATACTTTAAAGCCTTTTTTAGATTCTTCTGTCAGAGGAGTTTTATATTTCTTTTGAAGTCCCTGAAGTCCATTTGTATGTATGTATTCCTAGTCCATAAACCATAACTCCTCTTGCAAAACTTGTTTGTATCAAAACAACAAAGGCTTTATCCAACACAACTTTCCTGTGTACTCTTTTTTTTTATAGTGAGGATGAAATTCGAGGAAGCCTTATATTCCAAAGTTTATAAAATATTAAATATTTCATCCTGTCTTCTAATTACTCTGATTATTGGGCATTTATTACTGTCTTGACAGGCTAACAGTAATGTATGTTAGACTTGGTATCAGAAACACTCATTTAAGTTATTCTCACATGAAAGAATATTTGTTGATTATTCTTTTCCCATAAGAGGCATTAATCAATTACCTCTAATTAATACTAGAGGTATTAATCAAACACTCATCCCCAAAATATGCTCTCAGAGAGCATATTTCTCCATATTTATTACAGGGCTGATATGATAGTAAAAATAAAAGGAGGGAGTTCCTAGTCTGACTTACGGGATCACTTCAAATAAACTTTGCAAAGTAGCCCAAATTCCTTACTCTTTAGAGCTGGAATTCTCTGAACATCCAATCTTTTGAATAACAAAAGTAAACAACATTCTGTGATATATATGGTAGCAGTATACCAGTGAAGTTGAGAATGAATCTTTCATTAATCATATTCAAGGTCTGTAGTGAGCAGAAGCAGGAGAAGATTTAATCCTCTTAAGAAATGGCAAGTAAGCCTAGATTTAAAGCAGATATCTTTAAAAACATATTGTAAAAAAGAAATAGGAGTTAAACCCTAGAATAATTATTTATTAATATAAAGAAGTCTTGATCTCTTTTCAGCATAAACTTGAAGCTAATTTCCAATTCAATATTTGGTTTTACCTATTTTTAACTGAAATGTCAAGATAATTTCAGTTCTGCTATTTATTTAAAACACATTTTAGCAGGGTAGTCTCAACATCATATAAATACTGTAACTAGTTTGCATTAAGTTCCTGGGGAGACAGCATGATTTCCCATCTGCTTTGTGCTAATTACTAATCAACATAGTTCTAGAATATCTGCAGTCTTTATAGCCTACAGCAGTGGCTAATCCAACATTCTGTATATTCCCTAGGTTTCTTTGTTTTCTGGTCACTATAAGGAAATGAAACTGTGGCTTCATCTAATTGTCTTTGTCTGCACATAAAAAGAATGCATTATCTGTAAAAGAGCACCCTTCAAGTGTCCAGAAATCTGTGAGCAGTGAGGACAGGTAATGGTAAAGAAAATAAACCCAATAACAAAGCAAAATAAACCCAATAGCAAAGCAGGCCTTCTGTACCTGTACCCTCTAGAGTCTCCAAGGGCAATTAACACAACCCCGAGCAGAGATGACATTACTGGGCTTTTGTTAAGCAGGACTACTGGCTCTAAGTGATATTGGTGATGCTCAGTTGCTGCAAAATTGTCAAAACAACTTCAAATGGACTGGCAGTGTAAAAGCTCTTGGGGGATGCTCAGACTCAAGTGCCATGTTCTCAGCAATTCCATCTCCAAAACAGTACAAAAGCAAAAGAAAGCTTCACAAGAAAATTTTATTGTAGATGTGTCCCATGGCATTTCTTGAGGGAATATATTGAAAACATAGTCACGCTACAGTAAATTGCCTTAATTACTTAATGTTTGACTGACTTCAACCTGTGAAAAAGACCTTCTAATGAAAGCTTGAAATTACCAATTTTTAGGGTAATTTTATATGTTCATAGGATTTTGTGCTCTAACGACAACTGTAATGAGCACTCCGTGGAATACAAATCAAGCAGTGGACTAATTTTAAGAAGGGGTCATTGAGACTCTAGTGAAAAAAATCGTTTAGCAGCTGAAATATAGCAGACTGTCTTCTCTCTTATATTCATAAAATACTAAAATATTTAGAAACATGAAGCCAGATTCTGCTAATAATTACTCTGCTGTAAAACTAGGAAAATTCAGTTGATATCCCTCCATCTATATCAGAACAACATAACACATTATTTTCCAATGCTGTCCAAGTATTATGAACTCACTGGCATGAGAAGGAAGGCAGAGATCTGTTGAATGTAGGCTCTTGCCTATTGAAATCAGATTTGTCCATCAGCTGATCTATTTCAAATGAACATCTTTGGCTTTACTGCCATTGCTTTATCTTAGAGGCATCTGGCTATACTCAGAGTCAAAAGTTGTTTTCTCTTTTAAAGGCTCCTATTTAATTCTAAAAATTATTCTCTCTGGAGGATAATCTTGTGACACTTTGCACCTAGGGTATGAATTAAAATAGAAACAGCTCTATTTTATTGACTCTTCAGGACCTGATAATGGTGCAAGTTCTGTACCTCTGCCCAACACCTTAGCAGTGCCTCTGTAGCTCAGTGGAAAGTAAGTTACAAATAATAGATAGGTAGGGCTTTTTTTCAGAATGTGAATTTCTCCAATTTCTCCTTCCTTTTGTAATGAAATTTAGTCATTGGTTTCGAATAGATTTTCCAGAAAAGAAGACTTATCTAACTCTGTATGTATGGATATGTTCACTTTTTGCCACACAGAAAAGTGTTTTAAAAGCTTTATTTATCCCTTTCTGTTCTTCTTTTGCATATAATCATTAAACCCCATCTTCCTCTCCTCCCCCCGTACCAGTTCTAGTGTTTTCTCTTTCCTCTTCCAGTAAGAAAAATTGCACTTTCTGATTCTGAAAGAGCTAGAAACTGTTTTACTGAAGATGATTATTTTAGTAACTTCCTGCTTTACCAAAGTATATAAACATTATTTACACTCTGTGGGACTGTTTTGGCATGCTATGTGTTTTGGGTGCTTGACAAGTTTACAGATGGTGTCCTCTGACCTTTGCTGTCTGGAAATTCCAAAATCTTCAAAGTAATTATCAGAAGGTTTTGTGTCCTGCTTTTTGCACATGCACGGGCAAAGGAAGGGAAGAAGTGGGGTTGTCACAAGTCTGGGTCAGAGAGCTATGACAGTGACTCACAGACATACTGGCATTAAAATCCTACTTCTACTTCATGGGATGGTTACCAGACATCAGACAGGGTTCTTTTGTGTGGTATGGTTTGCCTATGGAAATTTTGCGTTACTCAGGTAGGGCCAGTCTGCATGATCTAGAGGTATTTTCTCTTAATATATCAGTCTGCTGCAAACAGTATTGGTGAAAGTGTCAACAATACATTACCTGTGGAGCAGAATTGTTTAATACTTCTGTAATTTCATTAACTGGAATTTGTCATCATTAATCAAGCCAGCTATGTAGCCTAGTGTTTCAGAAGGTAGTAAATTTTTACTTCCATTTCAGCTAACCAATAATTTGCCAGAAGTTCCACCAGGCCCTTGAATTTGTGTTTCTAGATGTCCTGCTTCAGCACTATAAATTACATATTTGTTGACCTCTCAGTCCTCAAAATCTGAACAATGCCAAAGACTTACAGTGGCTTCTGAAACCTGAACAGTGAAAGTTCTTGGATTCTTTAGCACATGCTTGTTTTCTCCTTCTTCCTCACTTCTACTCATTATGGTTCTCTTCAAATATTCCACCTATCTTTAGGACCCCCTACTTAGAAATGTACTGTCAGATATGTGTGTGGTATTTGACTAACACCAAGGAAAAATGTTGTCTGTCTAGAAATTATGCAGGAAGATCCCTAATCCTAAGAAGAGTAGGTTGCTGGAAGTATTTTGGGAGAGCTTAAACATTTTGTCTTTCAGTAGTAAAAAGGTTTATATGTTTTTTTGTGATTATTTAATGATGAAAAATTTTTTTAATTCCAATTTCATTCTTAATTTGGGAGATTCTAAGTCTACTATGGGTCTATATAATAGATTAAGCTAGATACAAATATAGACAATTAGTGAGATTCCATTGTTATAGAATTTCTGGCAATTTTGCTGAAAGTTTCAGTAGATTCAATAGTGATGGTGGAGGAAATGAACTGTACTGCAGAGAGTTTGAATTACTGTTCTGCATCAGCACTGCTTGGGAGTGTTTGGTAAGTTAATCTGTCCTTTGCCGTGTTTTGTCTCTGACCCATGAAAGTTTAGATTATTTTGGAAATAGGGAACAGCAGAGGGTACTGAAACCTCCCCATCATGATGGACTGAAGTCCTTATTGACTTTTCCATAAGGATCCATGTCCCTATTTTTACAAGGGCTTAGAAAAGAGCTAGGTTTTGAATAACTGAATTTGAGACACATTTAAAAACCCAAGAATTTCAAAGGTCAAGGGAATATGAAGTCCTTCATTTATTCTTTTGTGCCATTTTCAGTACAATGAGATGTTAGGGATGGAGTGACAGCCCTCCATCTCCATTTTCTTTGTTTTGTCTGTTTTTGTGTCAATGGTAATCAGATAATGATGGAAAGACAATTATTAGTTTGTATTTCAGGAAATAATGCTATGGGGAAAAAAAATCAGAAACAAAGAATTATAGCAGTGCACCTCTCAGAATGGATTCAGGGCATAGATCAAAACAATTCTTTTATCAAATTTAGAATTCTCTTATCTTTTACAAGGGATTCAGTTTTCACCATAGTACTATTATTACTATTTTCTTCAAAGGATAGCTATGGATATGTGTGACTGCACACAACATTTTGCAGATTTGGCCTTTGGAAACAGCCTCTTTGGGAATAACTGGAAACAAGACTCTTATGTGGAAGCTCCCTGAGGTGGCACCTAGGCAATGGAAAGCAGCAGAAACACTAATAGGAGCAGGTGAACACTGCACTGGGGGGCTCTCTGATGACTAGGTACTTTTTTGCTAGGGGTTTCATGATTAAGTAAAATTTTGGGGACATGAAGTCTTGTTTCCAGCCTGCCAACACATTAGTTGTTTCCTGGGTGTTTAATGACCTTACACTACAGGGGGAATATTAGAAACTCTTTGCTAATTAAGCCAAAGCCAACTTCATCAGCAAAATACTAACAGTTTAACACAGTTAAGTAAGAGCTTCAATTTTTCTCTACATTCTTACCTGACTTTCCTTCTGGGAACATGGCACAGTGCTTGTCTGAGCATCTATTAATAAAATAAGCATTTAGATAAGTAAGCTGAGGGAGGGGACAAGAATGGGAAAGAACAGGGCAGGGGGTGTTTCCCCATTCTCTTAGTACACCATAGTTTCAGGCAGGAGAATCAGTTCCTGAAACGTTTTCTTGTCTTCTCTATCTAAATCAAGAGCCATGGCCTCTAGATACTTTGTGTAATACAGCTGTGTTAATATGGCTTGGCCTCTTAGCCTGAAAAACACCTACAAGCAGTGAACACTTAAGGTAGTAACATTAATCAGGATTCAGTTAGAAGTTTTTTAGAATTCTGGCTTTTGTGCTTACTTTGAGGATTGATGAGTAGACACTCTTTGAAAAGTCTGATCAGGAAACATAACTCTTCAAATTAAGCAATATATGAGTCTACTACTTAATAATATTTTAAGAATGAAACAAAATGTATTTTATATCCCACTTGATTGTTACAGTCTGTGTCGACACAGACAAGTGCAAGCCCCAGGGTAACAAGAATCTGGGAGAACTTTGCTTAGTGACAACTTAAAATCATATCCATGGAGCTAAAATTTTCTTGTTATGTTTCCTGGGCCAACTAGAACAGTCACTAGAACAGTCCCAAGAAGGTTAAGATTTTAGAGCCAAGATTAACAAAAAGTTAAAAAAGTTGCTAGCAAAAATGATAATGCTTGACCTTCAGAACAGTCTTTTCAAAGCCCCAAGTTTTCAGGCTTTCTGTGAGTCTCCTTACACTGTGCATTTTCATATATGGTACAACCCATATATTGGATTTTATATTGATGTAAACAACTTTAGAAATGCCCTATTTAGCATGGGATAATAGAACTGCACTCAGAACTAGCAGAGCTAAAGAAAGTTCTTGTCTAAATGTACTTCCCTTGAAATTAGCTAACTCACACAGAACTGCTAGAAGTAAATGAGAAATGAGCAAGAAAAAATTGTATTCTGCACTGCTAAAAATGACAACTGAGTATAGATGGCACAGCTCGTTGTCACAAAGTTTTCAGCAGGAGGCTAACTTGCCAACCCAGCTGAGAGCTTTGTTTGGAACTGCCAGGCTGGAATGCTGCTAATTTTAAGCAGTCTCAGAGACTTCCTTGGCTGACTGTCAAGGATCTATGGCAACTGGCTAAGTCTGCACCTGCACCTGTGCAAGAAGTACCATCCATTATTCTAAAAGACATGCAGTGAATTTCTTTAGGGTGGGAGCAAGTGCAAGTTGCTACATAGTGCGTACGTCCATTTTTGCAGGGGACCTCTTCTGAGACTGCAACCGATTCTAGAAGCCGGAGAACAAGCTGGTCTCTCAAATAGTCTCATAGCCTCTAAAAACACACTATGACAGAGCCCTTATAAGCCTTCCTAGTTAAGATCACAGGATAGAAATGGTGGAATTATGTATATGTGGAGTGAGGTCTTGTGTGAAACTGGAGAACCAGGGGTACTAACTGCAGATGCATAAAAGAGAACTGTGTTGATTTTGTTTAACCCCTGATAAAACTTGTGCAGGAAGAGTTACCATGGAAACAAGGTCCAAATCAGGCTAGCATGAACTAAAGGCTGAGATAACACAATCCCATTTTTAGCACTCCAAAACAGAGAAAACATCATGCTCACACTAAAGCTGGAAAAAATGCAATTTCAAGCTGCATAATATGCTAGTAGGTTAACAGCTGAAAGTAAAGAATGCCAGCAAGAAGAGCATTTACTAAGCATGCCTCTAATAACTGCAAAATAAAATATCAAAATATAACAGTAAGAACTCTGGGAGTCTCTATCCTGTTCAAACTATAGTTCTGAAATCAAAATACGATTTTCATACAACAAGTATTTTTTTACCTTTTGGCACACTGTGGCCAGAAATACATTTTCCAACTGTTTGTTCAGAAACTGTGTCTTTTCTCCTCCAGTTCTGAAAAACTCTGCAGGATCATCTCCAAATATTTATCATTATAGACTGACTATGCTGGATCAAAATAAGATACCACTCCCTCCTACATATAAAGGGTTGAAATCAATAGAACATTACTTTAAAAACCAGCAGTACCCCTAGTAGAACCTACTTTACAACCTCAAAGAGGATGTGGGAAGGGACACAGAAAAGTAACACTGAAGATCTATGACTATGAGGTGTCTGCTGTGGCCATGGGAACACGAAGAGAATCTGAAAAGAGACCAGAGAGGGGCAGTAAGCCACTGGACCAAAAGTGTACTCAGTACTTGGCAAAGGACTCCTACTAGTTTTATCTTCTCCTCAGATGGACTTCCAACGTACCTCACTTCTGCCTAACCCAGTTATTACCAAGTGCTGTACAATCATTGCCAGGGCTAAGGAGCCTGCCAGTCTTGCCTCTTCTTCCCCAACAGTGGAAGTATTTTTTTCAAAGAGAAAACTGTGGGAAATTATATTCTTTCAAAAGTAATGCAAATAAATGTTTCAAAGAGGATGTTCACTGTAATTGACTGGGCAAGAACCATAAAGCCTAGGGGTCTTGGAACCTCACTGACACCCGAGTAGCCTATTTGTAATTCTACTGCAGGCACAACAGGAAAGATCACTTCCATCTTGTCTAGGTAGCAGCATATGTTTTCTCATAAGAAATGTGAAGGTTAGTCAGGCAAAGTATCTCTGTCAACAGATTCTTTGTGAAGAGCAGATTGAATATTTCATGGGGACATTTTCCTGACAGATTTGTTGTCGGTCTTGGCTTCCTGCCCTAAAGATGCTTCTTTGATCGAACAGGGATGTCATTGTTCTGAATAGCCACACTCTGGATTAGAGTCTCTACATTGAACATTATACCTGCTATGGATATTTAAACTGTTCCCATTTATTATCAGCTACTCTGCTACTCCATAAATTGGTTATGCTGCATTTAGGACTGAGGTTTAACTGTGGAGTGTGAAAGACAGGCATAACAGAAACAGTAATTTGTCAGACAAACCATTCAACCATAAAAGTGCAATGGTATTCAATGAATTGTGTTTTTCCTACATAAAAAATGAAAATCCATGAGTATCAGTTTAGCTGTCTTCATGACTGTTGCTGTCTACAGTTTCCAGTATTGAGCAGTACTTAATAGTGGTAAAAATGTTTAATGTTTCACTGAATTTTCCTTCATTAGGTCCCAAAAGCTGCTAATGTAAATGTAAGCACATAAAGTATTACATAAACTTTTGCCAGGACAACCTTTTACACATTCCCATATGGATCCAAATCAGACTATGGTGAATCTACAGTGTCCTGAAATATTTTAAATTTTTCATTTTTAAAATATTTCTATTCCAGGGAGAAACACTACCTAGCACCAAGTACAACAAAGCACTTTGCTGAGGAGATAAAATAATCCACAGACTAGGTTGTCCACACAGTTTAAAACATGGTGTCTCAGAAAATAGATATTAAGACATAATTTACATATATATATATATATGCATGCCTCAAAGGCAATAAGGTAGCTTAATGTTGGAACAGCTCTTCATAGACAGATGTGAAGTCATAAAAGTGTAAAACATATATATTCTAGTTATACATAAGCATATAGGAGTTAATGCACAGAGAAGTTTTGCTGCCCAGCTGGATTCTCAAGGGCTGCTCCAGTAACAGCCAACATGGGCTCTAATGTACCCAGCTTTACCAAGTGAGATACCAATGAATAATGAGGCAGTGCTGTCTCATGTAAGAAATGAAGTTAATTACCTTTCTCTATTTCACTTTGGAAGGACAATTTCCGTCTCCGTATTTTGCAGTTATCTCCATCCGTATCATTGGTAGTTTGTGATCTTATTACGAGGTCAGACTTGATGAATGAAATATGAAACAAAATGACAGATTAGTCCCATCTAAGGAGGGCAGATTTGCAATAGGTGATTGACTGTTAATCATGTTCAAGCTTTAAAAAAGGCAATATTAAAGTCAGCCTGCATCAGCCTCTCCATCACCAGCTAATGAATGGAATTGTCCCAGGCTAACATGAAAAAAGTTTATGCAAATTGAGCAAAACCAACACTTTTATCACCTAATGGTGAAATAAAATTATACTGATAATAAGTTTACATGGAAATACATGTGTTCATGTGTTCTCAATTTCTCTGAACTTGCACAGACCTGGCTTATGTAACCTTAGACAAATTAATGAAAAAAATTAAATAACCTCTAACAGAGAATGCATACTATTTCAAGAAGTAAAGTGGTAATTGATTGCAATTATATTTATATTTAACTGATGGTAATGATTATAAAGGTTACAGTTTGCAATGATTATAAAGGTTATATTTTACAATAAATATAAGCCTGACAAGCATCAGGCACTTTACCTCATTATTTTATCCTTCTAGACCCTCCCTTCCTCTTTATCAGATTTAGATCATTCAGATACTTATTTCTGTACCAGAACACAATGTTGTTTTTTTCTATCCATCTTAAGATGATTGCAGTGCTTTTTTTTTTCAGTAGGTAAAAGATGCATTTAACTCTTGTTTTTTTACTTTAAGAAATTTACAAATTAGCAAATATAACACCAGTTTTGCTATTTGTGTAGATACCCATGGCATTGGCTTCAACCTACTTCCATTCCCTGTGCTAGTGAGGTTTCCCATACCACTCAAGTAAGCAGATTTGCATGTGGGAGAAGGGCAGAGGGGAGCTGGGAAGCATTTACATCTTTCTCTATCCCTTCACTTTAAACCTGGTAAGTAATGTGCTTCTGTGGTGGCCCACTGGTGGAATAACTGCAGGAAGAAAAAGGTACTTTCATACAAACAAGAGAGCAGGGGCAGAACTTGAGGCAGAAGCCCCTCTTACTCTGATAACAAATTAGATCTGACTGGTGTTTTGAAAATCAGAATGTGCTCAATGCTTCTTTTGGGGGGATGATTATCTGGATTGCAATAGACAGTGGAAAGTAAGTGGAATTGTTAGAGAAAAACTGTGATGTTGCAAGCTCAGAAGCATGGTTGAGCTTCTCCTGCCTTTCTTGTCTCTGATCTAAAGAAAAAATGATAAAACATTGATGACAATGTAATTGCAAGAAATAATTTCTCAGACTTAAATCATTAATGTGAAATTATCCTCAAGAAATTTTTCAAATATATGGACATTCCGTTTTAACTTAAATTTATCACTAGACCATACATTCATTTTGTTGTGTTTTACATGGAATTAATAATTATGACCTTTTCAATGCACAAAAGGCATGACCGAAAAAAATAATAGAATTGGTCTTTTATTTTTGGAATGATATTTTATTAAAAAATGGTCATAATAGAAAGACATTCCTTGTTAGAAGTTGTATTTATTATAATTTTTTTAAAAATAAGGATCCACACTTGATCAGCAAAGATGTCCCTATGATTTGCAGCCCACAACTTAAGTGTTCTTTTTCTCATTTTTTCTTAGAAGGCCTTTGAGGCCAAATTATGTTAGTTCCTTCACACTGAACCTCTGTTTTTCTTTAAGGTAGTCAAAAAAATGGCATTATCTCAGAAATAATGAAATATAAACCAGTCATTCTGTGGGCAGTCTAGTCCCTGCCTGGTGGCCAGAGCTGGAGTTCCTGCAATCTTCTGGGGAAGCCTTTAGCCTCAGCAGCACAAACTGGGCAAGAGAATTTCCCCACTCCCCCTTTGGCCAAACACCCACTTACTTCCTTTCCCAAGTAGAGTAACCCTCTCAGTCTGAAATTGGGAAACATTGGTAATATTTTGACTTTTCCTGAAGGTGTAATTTGTGCAAAAGGGGACACTTAGGACAGTCACTGTGGGAAAAAGAGACCAAGAAATGCCTGCAAATCTGAAGACTGAGTGAAAGTTGAAAAGTCTCTTGTAAGTTTTTAGTCCCCTAGGAAGTAGAGTGCATGCCAAGATAAGGGAATTAACAGTTCATATTTGAAAGGCAATTAAATATTTTCTATTGCTAGACACAGAAGGAATGTGGATAATCTGATTTATTCTTATTTTATGGATGTACAATTACATTTAGTGTCAAAAGTACCCCTTGTGGTGACCTAGGCTATAGTCATCTAATAAAACCCTATTTTCCATGGCTTTAACAAAATCCCCCTGGGTGAAGCCTTAATACTATTTAAATATAGAACCAAATCCTGTTAGATTAACATCATCTGAATAATTTCATTGACTTCTGCTGAGTTTAACTGACTTCAGTTGAAGCAATCAGGAGAGTATATTTTTTTAATATAGGATTTTAGCTTTTCATTTTGTTAGTTTTTCAAATGCTATGTTCAAGTATTGTTACTGTGGGACAGATTTGGCCCAATATTATGAAAGAAAAATCACTTATTATATGTACCTTTGCAGTTTCATCTCTCAGATTAAAAGTTAGCTCCAGATTGGTGAGGAAGAGATCAGAAAATTCAGGGTACATATCCAAAACTTCAAGTAGATCTTCTCTCTGGATCTTATGTAAGTCACAGTAAGTTAAAGCTCTCACATCTGCATTTGACTTTCCTGGTTTTGCATAAAGATGTACCATCTCTCCAAAAATATCATTTTTCCCTGCAGAAAGAAAATTAAACAGAGATTATTATTTTAAACATGAATAAGACATTACATTGAATGATGTATTTCTTTATGACAGAGGAATACTTGGTTTTACATGAAGTGATACAGTCAGATTCCTATTGTACATATATTTAAAAAAAGCAGTATTATTAAGTATTAAAAGTGAAATTATTAAGATCAATGATAATTTATGAGCATATAACTGGACTAAGTGAATGTTTCATCACAACTTTTCTTCAGTTTCACCAAAACAATATGATTTGAGCAAGTTCCTTTTTCCTTTCTTCTAAAAGCATTATTTGGTAATTTCAATCATATTACAATGGCAAAGATGTAATTTCTATTGCCAGTCCAGTACAGAACTTGTCTGGTCTGTAATATCATTTTGTTAAGAATTACATGAAGGAACTGACTGTACTTGAAATATATTTTAGTAGAAAATTAGTTAATTTTTATATTTTTTGAGGGAATGCAAAGCTTCTAAGATGCAGGAGTTCTTTTGAACAAGCTCTTTAAACACGTCTGCCTCTGTTTTGATACCATTATGATTCTTCCAATCAGTGTTGATGCATTTGCAATAGGGGTTTGTTAAGATTTTCATCTCTATTTAATTGCTCATTTTTGCCAAACTGCACCTAAACTTCATCTATGCAAAGCAGTTTCAGCCATAAAAAAAGTGAAAATATGCTACACACTAAGGGTTTCAGGGTTACCTGCAAAATGGGGTTGGGGAGGCACTAAGAAAACACTTGTGGAAAAGAAGGGTGATCATGGCAAGGGAGAAACAGAGACTGGTAAAAAAGAATACAGTGGTGATTTTTTGGTCTCTGTTAAACAGTTGTGCCTTTCACATTGGGTTACTAAGAGCAGTTCTGGTTTTTCTATTTTCTAAAAAGGAAGTTTAAAACTGCAGCTAAAAAACCCAAAAGGTAATTTAAGTGCTGATTTATAGCGAGGATCTTGAACATGGGAAGATTAAGAGAAAACCTGATTATATTGCATCTATTCTTTAGAGAGAAAAAATTACTTGGTATTCAATGCCTCTAGAATATAAGAAGGAAAGCATAGGAAGAACCAATGGAAAGGAATTGAAGCAAGATAATTTTATACTGGAAATAAAGCACACATTTTAAACAATAAAGATGATTAAATATGGAAATAAACTGCCATCAAAAGTGATCCTATTTTCATCTCTTCATATCCTCAGCGCAAAACCTATTGTTTTTATTTCCTAAAACACAGTTCATTAGATGTAATGGATAGTCAAAAATATGAAATGTAACAGGAATCAGTGACGAAACAAGGGTTTGCCAATATACTCCTTCTGCCCTAAATGTTTATGAATTCAGAGGTCCCTATTCAAGGCATATAAAACCTTCTCTGCAATATTCTTCTTATTAATAAGAATATAAATAAGAATATTGTGGGCAGATATTGATGGGAAGAGATATAGTGGCATGGGATTGCAAATAGCTGGTTTTCTGCTAAGGTGTGAGAGCACAGGGATCTCATGTGCATGATATGAAAAACTTGTCCAGTCTGCATCTTTGGCCCAGGAAAAAATTGATATCCATATAATTGAATCCATATAATTGCCAGTTTGTCTTGACTGGAAGTGCAATAGAAAAAATACAGAAATGTACATGTTTTTGGCGTGAGAGATGAATTCTTTGATGAACCACACTGCTCATAATCAGGTCAAGACTCTTACAGTTAAGTAAAAACCTCACAATGTCATACTTGCATGCTCCCTACTTTCTTTATGCCTAAAGCTGGCCCAGCTGATGAGCTGCAACAGCAGGAGATGATTAATTATCTTGATAACACTATCTAAACCTAGGGAAGGATTGCTTTACGCACACCTTGTGCCTGCTCACATATCCACCCTGCAAAGTATAAACAGAATAATCAGTCAAAGTATAGCAACATACTGCCCCCAGCCCACATGTTGCTTCAGCTGCTTTGCTGAGTGTAAGTTCCTACAGTGGCCAATTAACAGAAAGACAACATATGAAGGATATTACAGCTGGTATATTCTTCTGTACATCAAAATCCTTATAATCTACTCAACTATTCTTTGCATTCTTATTATCTAATATAAAATTGGGAAAATCTGTAGTCATGTTATGCAAGGTTTTAGTTATTTTACTTTCCATACTGCTATAGCTAACCAGCTCTAGGTGAGCTCCCAGCTGGACTGAGCCAACTTTTTTGGGAAAGAAAACAAGTAACTCATCATGCTATACAAACAAGGATGTGTTAGTAAGACATATAGGGGAAACACTGGTGTCATTACTTCTAGATAAAATTAATCTGTTATTCTCTTCTTTTCCTTTATGCCTAGTAGGCAGAAACAGATATTTCTGAAACTCTCTAGAAGACATTTTGAATGCCCAGAGTAGATTGCTCCAGTAAGCAAAGAGAGGAGTCTATGTGTCTCAATACCTTCATCACTGTTTAAGAACAGAGTGGCCTTGACTTTTGATCTTGCAGCATAATCAGAACTGGAATAATTATATATTTGCTTGCCTTAACTTGCAGCTTTTCTTTTACCTAGGGATTACTGTGACTAAAGATAAATCTTTAGAAATCCAAAGGTCTGGGCTCTGGTGCGTGTGAATTATTGCAGTAATGTAGATTTTTCTTCTTAAATTATTTCTTTGCTTGATTAAAAAAAAATAGTTAGTAAATATTCACAAATTTCTTGTCCCAGGAGCAACAATAAATATTTCTTTTGAAAATCTGACTCTTTTAATATGCCTTGTAATAATATACTTACCAAGAATGGCTACAACAATGTCACTCTTAAGGATTTCAATGGAGCCTCTTGACACAAAATAAAGAGCAGTGAGAACATCTCCACAGTGTACTAAAGTGTCTCCAGGAGGTGCATGTGTTGTCTTAAATTTCATAGCCAAAGCTCGAAGACAGCCTTTACTGGCCCCCCGGAAAGCTTTGCAATTCTGAAGCAAATTTTGGTTGAGGTGCAGACAAATGTCAGCTTGTAAGCATTCTGGAAATCCCTTCAGGACCTGGAAAGACAAGCATAAGGATTTCATGCGAATGTTATGGATGTTCTTGATATAATTTTTGTTTTCTTCCTGGACAAAAAGAAAGAAGTGACCTACAAGCAGACATAAAAGGTGTAGGAGTATTAAAATTCAACAAATTCATAGTGTAATCTATATTGCAAAGCTTTTACAATGTGAGTACTCCTATAAATACTAACCTATTTAGTGGTTACAACATATGCTATTAATTGATTGCAAGAAATGGTCTCAGGGTACATGAATCACTATACTGCAGGAAAATAACAAATAAGACAGTGAAAGGGAAAGTCTTGACCGAATTTCCTTTTCCATTATATATTTCCATATATCTATTTCCTTTTTATCAATTGTCAAGGTACTACAGTTATTATATGAGAGGTTTTTGCTGAAACAACCATGACATTTGTAAAATGAGAACTATCTGAAGAAGATCAGATATTTTTCAGAATGAGGGCATTTTATTAGGATTTTCATGTTAAATATAACCCTCTTGCAAGTGTAGGACTTTGATTTTTATCAGAAAGAAAGCAACATGATCTATTGAAACAGCAATGTTTGCAGATTTACATAGACAGATGATTCGCTCAGCAAACAACAGGGCTACTTGCTGTGGTCCTTGTTCATCTTTTACTCAGAACAATGGGAGTTTGCCTGAAGTAGAATCATGGGATTCCTCTTGGGTACCATGGCAACATGTTAATTTTGTTTAGAAGGAAAGGAGTTGTTTACAAAATAGTCATTATCTGTGATCTTTTCTAAGTTCTCTAGGATAATACACCTTTGATTGTTTTAGAATCTATAAACGTTTCTGCTACTGACTTCATGGGAGTACTGTGAGTGATTCTGCACATGCTGACACAGTATGACACACCACCTTTCTTTGTTATATCCTGTTACCTGCTGTCAGTGATGTGGTTGGGTCATTGGCTTTCCCTAGGGACAGCTACTGCTGCATATTACTAAAGGCAAAATATGTACTGATGCTACAAGTCTTATGAATATGTGAACAGGATGTGTCTCTTTGTTATTAGATCAGTCTATAATTTCGTCCTTGTTTATCCTCTGCACTGCTTTTAAATAAATTTGTAAACATTTCTGCAGAGAAAAGATATATCCAAAATCCATTCACTTGTTGCTATATTAATTTCTACTTCAGCACAAAATATCCTGTGTACTCACTCTCATTGCAGAAATTATTCATAACTCATATCCCTTGCTGGTGAAAATGTCTTATGTCTGCACCAGCTGAGCTATGTAGTAAAAATGAGATATTAGAACCTTTAACAGTATTGAAATGTTTTTATGATTGTTAATGGGAATCAATGCTGTGAAATAACAAACAATGTTTTAACACACATATATAGAACAATTTTTTGAGCCTTATGGCATTACCATATGAAATCTATACATCATCAGAAAAAGCCAGCATTCAATAACAGTAAGCAAAATAAAATATCATAAATGAAAAGCTTCTGTGGCATCACTCTGTTTTCAGTATCTATCACATCACTAGAAATAGCTTAGTACTCAATTATGCTTTTTAGTATAATGTAATTATATTGAAATAAAAAAGCTATAGGTTGTAGGAATTTATTTGCTCAATGATACTGAAAAACTGAGAAACAAATATGTACACCAGTGAAACAGGAGAAAAAGAATTGTGTTTATTTTGAAATTGTTCTCCAGTCATGTGAGTGCAAAAGACCTATTTTGAATTAATTTGTTTGTTATGTATGTATCTGAATACAATTTAGAAGAGCTCCATTTTTTATAGGATATGAAATAGGAAATGCATTTTGAATTCAGAAGTACTTACAAGAAAAGTGTATTTGAATTGTTAGGAACTCATGAGCAGTTAGATTACATTTAGAATAAATAGTTTTAATTTTTCACATCAGCTGTTTATCTGATTTTCAAGGGATTGTATTTTACCATTAAGCAAAACCAATGCAGACAATGTGTGTTGGTTTATATTTCTGAAGATACTTTGGATATTCCCTTATGGAAACAATTATTTTTATACTTAATTAATATTTGTCATGAAACTGTTCTAAAATCATTGCACATCAGTTGATAGTTATTTAAATGTCAATGACATCTGAAAGATACCAGCCTCTTTTCAAGCATCTGTGACTAAAAAGTCCCTGCTCCATGGAGCTTACACTCTAAAGTACTTTTATACATCAGAGACAAAAAACATCTACTCTTTAATATCACAGTTTTAAAATGCCTAAAAGGAAGACTAAATAACATTGGTTTCCAATGGAGATTATTCCATTAATACAAGCTTAGAAATTCAAGAAAGTAGCTGATTGGAAGATAAATTTGTTAAAACAATGGTAAAACCTACATTACCAAAAAGAGCTTATCATATTGCACACATTGTGCGTGGTGAGGTGTTTAATCTAAGTCCAATAGGTGACATAATACAGAATTTGATGTTTCCAGATGAAGTTTTATGCTGTGCGGTACAGACATTGTGCCAACCCAAACTCTCAAATATTTGTTACATTCACTCTCATATTCTGATTTCATTACTGAAATTCTATTGAAAATTATGTTATACTGTGAGAATCAACATCAACATCAAATTTGTACACACTCTGCCTATTCTAAATATTAGAAAACCATCCATGCAGTCTTCAAAATAAAAAATTGAAAATTATAAAATTAGAACTGCTGTTTAATAATATTATTATTAATGAAAACCCAAAATGAATAAATCATTTAAATACAGATTTGAGTTTCAATTGTTCCATTCTTTCCTAACATATTTCTATTGTTATACACAATATCTCCTCAGTTGTGATTCCACGGGGCTCTGGTGAGAAAAATCTTGGATTCTCATGGTTAGAATAATGTTTGGAATCAGATGTCATGCATAATTCCAGAAATACACACAGATATTTTTAAAAAGACATGTAATAAGACATAAAATTGGCTGTAGCCCTCCCCCTTGACAAAGAAAAAGTAAAGGAAATCAGTTAAGATGCTGTGACCACAGGCTTCAGTTGTCTGTCATTGATAGTTATCAAGTCCAAGTTCAGTTATCTCTTCCTGTTTGGAATGAAACTTACTCCACATCACATAATGCTGATTTATCTACGTGGCATGCTTACAGAGGAGGATAACGCCATCCAGAGAGATGTAAAACATTTTACACAGAATAAGTGATTGTTTGTGAGGATAGCAGGGACATGATTCATACTGCCTTGAAGAACATGATCTTTTTATGAGGAGAGGGAGTCCAGCTTCATTAATTTCTTTTCTCAGGATGACAGCAAGATATCACACATTTATCAGGCACATTTGTGACAACAGATTTGGACATATCTTTGTGCCTTAATCTTGGGCAACAAGCAAATGTTTGGGGCAAAGATAACCTTGGGGTTTTTTGGATAAATTATAAAATTCATGACAATTTTTAGATTTTTAATTCTCAGTTCTTCAACAGGTATATATGACTCATAGAAAATATTTAGAAAGTATTTAACCTGAAGCAAACCAGGATATTAGCTAAATAGTTTTCATTAAACATGGAAATACCACATTCCATACCAACAAAACCACAGAATGATTGAGGATGGAAATGATCTTGTTGGAAAGATCATCTGGTCCATCCTCCCTGCTCAAGGAGGTCTACTTAGAGCTGGTAGCCAGGGTGATGCCAAGATGGCTTTCAAATACCTCCAAGGACAGAGATGCCACCACCTCTCTGGGCAACTTCTACCCATGCTTAGTTATCCTCACAGTAAAAATGTCTTTCCTGGTGTTTGGTCAAATACTCCTGTTTCAGTGTGTGATCATTACCTCTGGTCCTGTCACTGGGCACCACTGAAATTAAACCTTTTTCCACATTTTTTACACCCTCCCTTCAGGTATTTGCTCACATTGATGTGATCCTCTGTGAACCTTCATTTCTCCTATCCGGCTGAGCAGTCACGGTTCTCTCAGCCTTTCCTAGTATGAGAGATTCTCCAGTGCTTGTTGCCTTACAATCAAAGATACTGCTTAATTCTGCATATAATCTTCTGTCACACATTTTCTCTGCTGAAATATAGGTGGGATCATTAAATACCAAACAGCAGCTGAAGAGAGCACAAGAGTGCTCTTGTGTGCTGTGTTTGGGATATGTTGAAACTAGTGACTAAGGCTTTCTTGTCCTAGAACCAGTTAGACTTGTTTATGAGTGGCAGGTGCCCAGCATATAGAGGGAAAGATAAAGGCATACTCCCAAGTTCCTCTGAGAATTTAAGATGGCATAAACGGAAGAGTATTCTGGTCCTTCTCCACTTTGTCTGATTATTCCTGCCTTGTCATGATCTCTCCTTGTGAAATGGTTTGAGAAACTGCTCCATACAAAAAATTAACACAGCAAAAAATTTGAGCAGCTGAAGGTACAAAGAGGCAAGAGTAAATTCACTTTGTGTCATGACCACACATACTTAATATCTATTTGGTTATCACCTTCATAAGAGAGATCTCAGGCTATGTTGACATTGGCATCACTAAATGCTGAATAAAGTTCTCAAAATATTTGAATAATAAAAGCTGAACTTTATATTAAAACCTTTTATTTTTATTAACCTTTTGTCTTTGTTCAGAAAGAATTAGTAAAATTAATTAATATTAATTCATATATTTGGTGAAATAACCTATGTATTTAATTTTTATCTTTTTGCCAGCCACCTAATTTTAAGGCTAACCTGATACTCTTTAGCTGCACAAATTGCACTGCTTAGATTTTGAATTAGGATTTCTGTCCTCCAGCAGCTGTTTCCTCTGATGGAGAATAGTGTGGGATTTAGTTCCATCGCAAACATTTGACACTTGTAATTGAATAACATCATCCAGGCTAAACATTTCTGCAATTCAGCAATTTTATTTCTAGAAAGAATTTAGAATTTAATATTTAATATTCCTCTGATAATTAATTACAGAAATTAATTATTTCTGTAAGTAGAAGTTTGAAACATTTCTAAGCATTTTCAGCATTTAGAAAAGAAAGAACAGGGTCACATCTGGCAATAATACTGCTCCAGAAGCTCTTGGGCTCCACATAGAAGAAAGAATATTTCTGAAAAATCCTCTTTGTAGAGGATGATTTTTTAAAATGTTCAGTATGTTTCCTTTCAACAGTTGAGAGAGAGAAGCAGTATGTGATAATGAGCTAATTCACCTTTCAATGAGATTGAAGCCTCACAACCTTATCAAGAATAGGATCTTTTGTTTTCAGTCATCACCACAACACAGATGTGGGACATCTTTATGCTGGAATTAGTGAAGCTGCAGTGGACCATTCTTCTACAGTCCTATTACAGTTTCTGAGTACATCTGAAAAGTGATCTCTGTGATATGATACATTGCTGAACAAGGCAGATGAAAAATTATTTCAGTTTCTTCAACTGTTGACTCCCCTACTAGAGAAAAGTTTTAAGTCTGTAGAAGTTGAAGATTGATCAGATCTGGATATTTCAAAAAATATGATAGTTGAAGAATCAATTGCTCTTCTTTTGATATTTTAGACCACAAAATATAATGCACTGAGAAACTGATAAAGGATCATTTAGAAATAGATGGACATCATTGAAAATATTTTTATAATGAGGTCTTATTTTCTACAACTCAATTTGATGGAGGCAATCACATTTTTAAAATTGCCTCTTTTAGAAAATGAAAGAACAGGTTTATGGCTAATCATAAGGTACTTTGTGGCTGGTTTATATCTTGTGATTTCTGTTCTAACTTATAGGCAAGTAGCAGTGCCAAGTTCCAACATGATTACATATTCCCTTGGTTTAAGAATTTACTGCTAGATTTTGTTCCAAACACATCTAATTTGCACTAGTCTTTTGATGGTACAAAGAATTTCTCCTTGCTGTTTTTGAAATTCTAATTTACTTCTCTAATTCTCTGCTTTCAAATACATTAGTGGCACTGGTTCTATTGCTAAAACTGGTTTTGTTGTAAGAAGTGATCACAGTGGGAGGAAAAGCAAGAATGAAAAAATGTAGGGATGTAAACCAGGTGTCAATGGCCAATTTCTTACAAAAGAAGCCTGTTCAAGGTAATGGTGAATCTGGCCTTTATTTGCTACTACAGAATTACTCGTTCAAGATAGGTGTGTGTTCTACTGTACTTGTACGATCACAGTGGCCAAGATCACAACAGTAAAATGAACCAATTGCTTGGATGCTTGCAGGAGAAATCATAAACTTAGTCATAAAAATTCTGGTTTGTGCTCCCCTTTCATGCTATTGGACAAAACCCAAACCAAAAAGACATCTGTCCCACACCCAAAATTTTAATTAATGTTTACACTGGGCTAAACACTTTTCAGCTTGTCCCACTTAGTTACTTCTTTGAACTCTTTTCAAATGTAAAATAAACCAATAAAGCTATTCAGATGCACAGAAGATCCATGGAAAGAGAGGATGGGACAGGATTGTAAAAAATACATGCATAACTTAAAAAAATACCTCAAACACTAAATAACTAATCTTTTTAGGGTAAGCATCATAGGCATGCCATTATCAGTGCTGGACTGATAACATAGGAATGAAAGAGGAAAAAGAAGGCAAAAAGAATTTAGAAAAACTAGAACAGGACAGTTAAAATTATTACAAGAATTGGATTCTTTGGGACTGGTGACATCTTTCATGAAACAATGTGCAATGTAAACTTTTTTTTTGTAATTTGACTTTGCCAGTGTATATCACAGGGACATGATTTAAATTATGCTTATTCTATAGACTCAAGATTTTTTATCCAGATTAAAACAAATCCCAAATCCTGTTTATCCAGTCCATGCATAATTATGTGAAACTGTTTTTAACCAAAATACATTATGTAATGAAATATAATCAAAAATATGTAAAAATGGAGCAGAAGGGAGCAAATGAACAAATAAACAAGGTCTCAGCATATTTAACTAGCAGGTCTTTAAAGCTAATTTTAAGTTTAACCATTTCAAGTAAGCATACAGTTCTGGTTGCAATCTAGGGTGTAGAGTTTTGTTTAAAAAATCAAGTTTAGTCTTAGTGCACAATTACTCCTGAGATTAAAAGGGTTTCTGTTTAATCTCTTTTTTTGTATTTTGCTTTCCACTTTACCTGGATTCTTAAATATATTACTGAGGATAATTTAAAACATCTTTTGAAATATATTCTCTAAATATATTTTTATATATATATATATATATATATATATATATAAATATATATATATGAGTATGTGTGTGAATTTGTTGCATGTACATATATATATATACAATGTAAATTATTATGCACTTCATATTTCAAAGGAGATTTCAAAGGAGATTTTTGATTTTTTTCAGCTTTCAGTGATGAAATGAAGAAAAAAATATTAGATGAAATTCTGCCTTCAGAATTCACAAAAACCTCCAAGTAAACATGGGCAGGAGTCAAACACAATTGTTTGAGGACAATATTAGTCCTTTATTCTGTAAATGCAAATATTTCATGCAAAATTAAGTAAAAAACCACATGCAAGTCCAACTCATATGCACATGGCTAATAGCCAAGAAAACTTCATAGGTGCGTGTGTTAACATGCAGATATGGTGTAAATCAAGAGCATTCACACAAAGGAAAATGCAGAATGATCAGCAGCATGACAACTTTGTCAGTGACATTCCTACAGAGCAACTATCTGATGCAAACCAATATGCACATGACCTTTTTTGGGCAAAGAAGCATGACTTGAGTTGTGGGGTAAAACAGTGATTAATAAACATGGTTAGATTAACATTTTTTAATGTCTAATTTTTAGTAACCATTTTGCCCCACATCTGATTCTGCTTGGATTATTTCCCTTTGCTATCTATCCCTTCATCATGCAAAAAGTTACAATTAAAATTAGAAAGCACTGAACAAGCTCTAAACCCAACAGATAACATGGATATTCTTCACACTTTATACTGGAATTAAATTTGATATAAATACCTCCTGCTCTTACCAGTGGGTGGTGTTATTCCATGTATTTAGGTGTGAAGCAGACAGGAAAGAGATAAATCTTTCATAAGTACAATGTAAATCACACAATTCTTATATTATCCTTGTACTAAGTGTAATACATTCAAACTCTTAAAGGAAATAAGGCGATTGACATAAAACTTGAGGGATCAAACTGTGAACAGAATAAGGAATAAAATACAATGAAACAAGATACTAAACTTGAGAGTTTTTCCACACTTTATTAAAAACAAATCCTCCATACTGCCTCACAATCATATTGCAGAATATGGGCCATTTAATCCATTTAATTGTTGTTTCACATTCATGACAAATCCAAGACTAATTTCCGTACACCAGTTTCCAAATTATGCAACTTTTCATGTGACAATATCCAGTTATAGTTACTATTTCATGTGAACCAGGTGGTTTTAGTACATCCATTAGTGGCAATGAATTACTTAAAGCATATATGATTTTGTAATATCTTCAGAAATAATTCAGTGAGCTGCTTTAGGCTTAGGTTGAACACAACTGCAGCTTAAGGCCTGATCCTGCAAAGTGCTGAGTACCCCACAATTCCATTGCCATCAGAAGGAATTAGGGATATTCAGTGCCACACAGGATGAAGCTACCTATGCTGCCTTCCACTGCAGTAATCCCCAGCAGAGGTTTATACAATTGTCCTTGTCCTGCCCTGGACATATTATTCCTTTGGAGGGGACACATGGAAGTGGCAGGTGAAGACAAATATATTAATTTTCTATTGTATTTTCAAGATTTGCTTTACTTAATGGTAACCATAAAGTCAAATTGTCAGTGATTCTCCTTTATAAAAGATTTTAATCGAGACCATTTTTTCTGTTTGCTGCATAAAAATGTTGTACTCTGACAGTCATTCAGAGATGTAGTTATAGATTCACATGAAAGCTGTTTGAATGTATGTCAAAATTTTGGAAGTTGATTTCTAGTTAAATTGTTACAAAAGTGTATACATTTTCTTGTTCTTGACAGCTTTCTGGAGAGTTCTGCAGTTTCTAATCTGCAGCTCTGAATACCTCTGGAAAGCATCCCTACAGAGACACAGATTCACAGGTCCTTAAGATGTACAATGCCCTCAGTGTCTTCAAACTGATGTTGACTTTTCAGAAAAAATGTTTCTATCTCCAGAAAATAAGAGATTGATACAGATGCTTACTTTTGCTCACTAACAGATTGTTATTCCTTTTTAGCTAGCCATGTATTTATAGAAGGAGAGATTGAAGGGGCTTTTTTTATCAAAACGAGAAAAAATGAGTGTTATTCCTTGTCAGAAATGAGTTTCTGTGGATGGCTAAATGGTTAGTAGTACTGTGTTGATTTTCTGTGCAGAATTACATGGTTGTGAATACAAGCAAATTATTCAGACTATCGTGTGATTCAAATGTGTCTCTTTGAAAAGAGCAGCAAAACCTGCCTGCTCCTCTCTTCAACCTGTTCCCAATATACCTTATACCTGTTCTAGATTACATGGAAAGATTTGGAAAAAGAATTGATCTCCACAGGTTTTATAGAACAGTAGCTCTGTAGACATCAACAGAACACAGGTTCTCTTGTTTGGTACTGGAAGTGGAAAATCAGGGCGAAGAACAAACAAAATTCTGGAACACCTAAATCTGAAAGAAGAAACCTATATATTTTTTCCCTGTTTAAGCTTACAGAAGTAGCCTACAGTTCTCAAGCTTTCCTATACACAATGAGAATTCAGATTACTGATATACCTGGCAATAACCTAGGCAGTGAAATGTTTGTATGCTAAACATGTAGTGGCTTGATTGTAAACAACTGAGATATATATGCACCTTCTTAAACTTGTATTTTTACAGCTTATAAATACTAAAGACTTAAAGTCTCTTTCTAATTTCTCATGCATTTATCTATTGCTCACCCAATATCTCTGCCTGAAAAACAGAAGAACATACCATGTTCATGTCAATGCCATTGGTGTATGTCCACGCATGCTGGAAGTATTCCTCCAGTCGCTGCCGCAGAGGGTTTGGGATCTGATGAAAGCGGATGAACTCCTTCACTCGCAGCATCTGCATGTGGTACCGTGCAGTTCCCGAGTAGAGTCTTTGGATTATTGCGGATACGTTTCCAAAAATGCTAGCGTACATTAATGCTGGATTAAAGAGAAACAAAACTTGCTTAAATCATATCATTACTTAAGGGCATTGCAGATGAGTACAGCTAAGCAAAAGTTAAGAACAAAGGGAAGAGTTAAAAAGGTATGCATACATTTATGGGTTCGGTTTTAAATAGAAAAATAAAATATAATTATGATTATATAAATATTATGGGATAGAATTTCCTAAATCCACTCCAAACTCACCTTCTTACCTTATACAGGATTTGCTTACAGGCACTGATATACAACACAGATATTCTGACAGTTTGGATAACAGATTTTGAGTCGTCAAGCAACTTGATTACTTCCTGACACTGAATGAGTCACAACATATTTTTGCATACAACATTCCTTTCCCTAGGAATTTGCCCTTCCGGCTGCATGCTTATAATCTTATTAGTTTAGAATGTTAAGCCATTTGTTCAAACACAGAGAGAAAAAAAAGATTAAAATCCATGATAAAATTACTTACAGCCAATCAACATGACACAGATGGAAAAGATTTTCTCTGAGTTGGTGTTTGGAGACACATTTCCAAATCCTACACTTGTCAGACTGCTGAAGGTAAAATAAAGTGCTGTAACATATTTGTCCTTGATAGATGGTCCAGAGCTTGCATCACTCTTATTGTAATGCTTTCCTAGTTGTTCTCCTAAAGAATCCAACCAACCAATCTTGTGAGCCAAGTAAGGTCTTTCTACATTTCCAATGGCATACCAAATGCAAGCAAGCCAGTGTGCAATTAGTGCAAAAATGCACATGAGGAGCATCAGAACTGCAGCACCATATTCGGAGTATCTGTCCAGTTTCCGTGCTACCCTCACCAAACGCAGCAGTCTAGCTGTCTTCAGAAGGCCTATTAATGTAGTTGTCTGTAAAAATAAGATAGGAATTAATTTTCTCTGTTACCAAATGTATTTTCATGAATAGTAAGCATAAATAAACCACCACAAATTCCATTTTTTTGGGGAATCAACACAAAGAGTAGAAGAACCCATTTCAATGTAAATTTAATTTCATTATCTTTAAGCTATCAATTTCATTATAAAACCAGGGAAAGAAATAAGAAATGTACATTTAAAATCAAGATATATTGAAGTTGTCATTATGTGCTAAATACCCTCTCATGTTGAATATTTTACTTGATCTGGACTCTTGGGTTGACCATAATGGATTTAACGATCCAATATATCAATGATTTTTTTAACATGATAAAGTGTGTAAATTATTGGAACTACTCATAATTATATGACTACATAGGTAATAAGTCCACAGGGGTAATAAGTACTCCTGAAGAAAGCTGTGTGACTGTATTTGATCCTGACTTAGAAGCTCCTTGCAATGCCCTGACACACATACTCTAGAAAAGTGAAGTATTAGGGCAGAAGTGTCTCAAAGAGTATATCTACAAGATTCCTCCTGTTTGTAATGATAAAAGCATTCATACAGGTGAAAGAGGATAAAGCACTGTGAACAGAACATCATGGAAAAGTTCCTTCAGATTAATCTTTTTGCATCTTGTAGGTGTAGTGGCAAAAGCCAGTAATAAAAGTACTACACCATTATAAAAGTAAATTGGAGAATTTTAAAGAAGGAATGTATTTCAAGATTTTTAGTGCAGATGTGTGCAGATTATCCATTGCAACCTCTTTGAGGCTTTGATCTTTTTATAGCAAAAAATTGGTGATTAGTATAAGTTTTCATATTTAAATTAGTAAATATGCTAATTCCTTGTAGAAGGAATGGACAGCATTGTTAAGAGGAACAGCTGGATTAAAAAAACCCCTCAGCTACCTTTTTTCCTTGCATTAAGTCTGAACATATATTAAAGCATTCAGTAAATGCCAAGACTGCATACATTTTAATGTTTTGTTTGTTTGTTTGTTTGTTTGGTTTGGGTTTTTGCTTTAGCATACATGTATATTACATGACACTTAACAGGAAAAGCTTTCCAAGCCTCACAAACCACTCTGACAGTAGTATGCATAACAATAAAGCTTTTTTTGCAACAAGTACAAGACTAGTTTTTATGTTTTATTAAATCCTTGTATTTACCATGTTTCTGAGTAAAACCCCAAAGCTCTTGGAAAAAAACAAGAGTCTTTCTTGGCTGCATTTCTCAGTGGACAACTCAATGAATTGTTCATATTTTCTGAGTAAATGAGCAAGAGGATAATGTATGGTAACATTCCTGAATTCAGTTTAATACCCCAAATAATAACTTTACATAAAGAAGATTAGTGACTCGAATAGTCTGAAAGACCACATTCTTCAAAATGTTATGCCTAGGCTGAGATTCAGAAACATGTAAATACTGTGATTAGGTTATTTTTTCTTTATAGGTAGATCAGGTTTATATATTTATGATCCCTTAAGAAAAGCTAAGATTTGTTTTTAGTGGGGTGTTTGAAACATTCCCTACAGAGGTAGTCATATCTCTACGTCATGCAAGAGACCACATATTCTTGCAGTGCCTCTTAAATAGATGAGATGGTAGATTGTTAATCTACAATATGTCATCACTGTTCCACCACATTCTTAAGATAAAACTTGCTAATAATATTCATACTCAGTGTCAATCCTATACTTAGATACATCAGTTTGAGCTCTGGAGTATGTGGAAGGTATATAACATAAGAAAACTTCATCTCTTCAAGGGTAAAATCAGCATGAACGAGACTAGATATGCTTCAAGCATCAAAAAACTCATCCTCAGTTTTAATTTTCTTTAACACAGTGAAGAGGCTTTAACACTAAAACAGAGCTGGCAGCAGAAGTGAAAAGCATAGTCCACAAGTTTTGATGTGCCTTACATGCTGTCCACTTCTCAGCACAGATGTAGCCTTCACATAGTAACAGTACATCTCCCATGTGTCACTTGGCCAGGGACAGAAGTTCTTGGTTTCAGAACTGCATCTCATGGAACGTAATTTTGTTGGTGTGCTGGAACACTTTGATCAGCACAATGCCCGAGGAGGCAGGGTGCCTACTCTGTCAATTACCTTACTCCATCTGGTGCCAGCCATTAATACCTGCAAATAGCAACCTGATAGACGCTGCTCTCTTTTCTGGATTGCTTGCTTCTCTGTTTCCATCATACCTATCTGCTGGACTACAAGTTCAAGAGTGGTTGGATAATCACATCAGATTTTTTTTCTTTTCTCTTCTTTCCTCTCCATCTACTCATTATTTTTATCTTCCCAAATACCAGGGAAGCCACCTAACTTTCACAACACACACACAAAAAAGAGAGAATTATTTACTACCAATCATCATCATTTTGAGTCTCATTAAGCAGAAAAAAAAAATTAAAATTACATTATTTCCCTATTTTAGAAATTGGAAAGTTAACAGTCTAACTCTGTTGCTTTCTTATGGTTGAAAAAGTATGGCTCAAATAGATGCATTGGGATAGTGCTGTATGTGGTATTTGGATTATTATCTCCTGCCCTTTCAAGACTCCACTTGATATCAAGGTGTTTTAAAGCTGCATGAGCACACGTGGTGCTCTCTTTAGAGCTCATGTTTTGTAATAAAAAGGCTATTCAATACAATTTTTCACTGGGGATCTTCTTTGAAGAATCTCTAGATAACAAAAAAGAGCTATTTTACAAAAAAAGATAGCTTTTATGACTTAAAAAATTCTATTAAATGAAAAATGCTCCATTCTGTCAATTTTATATTTGCCTCTTCTTGCTAAACTATGAAAAAGGGATCATTGGTGAAATATTATAGTTAGCAGTGTAGGAAGAAAAACTGCAGTAAGTAGCAGCTTAGAAAAGTGATTGACATATTCAATACCATGAATGAGAGAGAGAAGCTATGATGTCTCCGTGAATGGAACATAATCTATATAACATCATTACTGCTTAGATAAACAAAGCCATTTTTTTCCAGCTAGAGAAACTGGTCAATTACTAGATTTTGAGGGAATAAAGATTCAATTTACTTATATCTGAAATAGTGAAAAAGTCATTACATGGTCCAATAATTTCTGTTTCAACTTCCACATTTTTATATTTGTCTACTCATCTGCAAGAATGCTCTTCTTTGTTACTCTAATCTGCAATGTTATTTTATGTTGAAATTATTCCTTTAGCAGGACTTTAGCACCTGGCACTTTACTCTTAAGAACTTCTGTAACAGGATAGGTGGGGAAGAATGATGTTCAGGGGCACTCCTTCAATGAACTTTGGAATTGATCTCTGTTGTAATCCTTTATGTTCCACACTTCTAATCATTGAAAATAATTTTTTGGCAATGACAAGTGATCAATGATCAGAAAGGAATGCAGACCGTGCTTGGAGGGCAACGCTGTAGTCTGAGTTAGAAGTAATGCCATTATAAAAATGTTGGTCTTTCATGTATCTGTGCTTTCAAAACCACAGAAAAAGTTATCAGCAGAAAGTTGGACACCCGCCACAGATAATGAATGCAAAAGGTGATCAAATTTTCTCTTAAATCTCTGAGCTTTTTAATCACCTACTGAATAAAAAAGTAAAAAAGTTCTCTTCTGGTAAGAGAACTATTAATATGTTCCCTCTGTCCTTTATATTACTCTCTGTCTTCTTATAGCTTTCCTTGGTAACATTTATTTTTAGTGCATGGTTTTATCTCATGTTTCACTAGACTCCTCATTTACGTTTTGCTTAGTTTGCTGCTTTAAAAAAAGAAATTCTGTATTCTGTGCATCACAGAAAAGTCAAACCCAATTCTCTACTTTTCAGAGAAAATATTATGATTTTATGCCTTCTTAAATTAAATAAAATTTTTTGGATGAACTGGGTCAGGAATCCAGAATATAGCATATATTTTATATACCTTTAGGCCAGTTTTGGATGCATATATTGAGCAGTTTTTTACTCTGTTGTGTAGATAGATCATGCTTGTCAAGGTAATATTTTTTTTGCTTCTTTTGATAGTCCATATTCTTGATAAAATTGACAACAGCCAAATCTCTTTGATAACTAGTATAGTTTATACTACAACTAACCTGTTTTCTGCTAAGTAAACATCTGACCTAAACATTTTGAGCAGAGAAAAATTATTTTAATGATGCAATGCCAACACAGCACTTATATGCATCATAGAAAGTTTTTGAAAAGTGATAAATCAAAGCAGCAGTTCTTATATAAAACCATTTGACCAAGTCCTTCATACACAATATATTTATTATTTCTAAAGACAGTGTCAAATATAGTATAACTGAAAAATACTAGCTGAATCATTCAACGTCCTCTCTTCTCAATGAAAGCTAACATTGTGCCTTATTCTATAAAGGAAGATGTAATTTTAGTTTAACTTTAAAAGATGGGATGGAAATACTAAGCAGCTATTAAATAACAAGCAAAAAATACTTTAGGATACACAGAATACTATCATGAAGTAATAAATTAAGATTTAAGATTTCTTATTCATTTAAGCTTACCTCTTCAGAGCCAGAGCCAAAAATCAGCAGGTCAAAAGGTATTGCAGCAACCATGTCAATTAGGAACCAGCCTTTGAAGTAGTGAATTGCTATTTTTGCTGGATCACTTACCACTTCTTCATTCTGGTTTACATATGTTGTTCTGAAGTTTATTAGAATGTCAATGATAAACATAATATCCACAATTAAGTCTACAACATTCAGTGGGCTGCAGGAATATCCACACTCTCTCCTCTTGCGATCCTCACTGTCGTTCAGAAGGAAGGCAGCAGAGTAAGGGGTGAATATGGCAGTGTATATGACCAGCAACAAAATGAGCCAGTCCCAGACAGCTTTGAAAGGACTGTAGTGCAATATAGTAAACTTGTTGATGCGAGGTGTCTGGAGTTTATATTCTGGTAGAACATCAGCCCCTAAGGATAGAACCTAGAATAAGAAATATCCACATCAATAATCAGACAGTGTATCTACTTCCAGTAAACATAGCAAATACAGGACAAAAAGTACTTCATTATAGTTTTGAGAATTAAGCTTCAATTATTTAGTGTTTTGGCAAACTAGATTTCTGTGAAATTCATGGTGTCTGCCAGGTCCAATATATTCATTGACAATTTTGCACAGTCGGTTGATTCTTGTCCCCTGTAGCAAACATTAAGAAGCATATCTTATATCCATAAAATCTGCATTATTAAGCATGTCATGAAATTCATTTATCCACCATATTATAACCTTGCCAGCCTTCTCAGGGCCAGACTTTTCTTGCAGTGATGTAGTGTTTTTCTCCCAAAGCAAACCCATTATCATTGGCTTTCATTCCCTACAAAAGAGTTTACACTCATTAGAAAGTGTACACAACCAAAAATTAAAAAAAGTTAGCGTCCTTGACATCTATCTACACTTTGAGTTTTGTGGTGTTAGAAACCTCCATGCAAATTACAAATTACAAATTACACTGAGGCTATAGTTCTAGTTCAGCTAAAGGTGTGACAAAGGATACCACAGGAGTATTGCCTTTTCCTCCACTTCTACTTTTGTCAATGCCTAAAGCTTATTATTCTTTTAAAAGTATGGATTTGTTATCTGCTGGTGTTATCTAAGTTGGATTTCAATTTTATTTGGAAGGATTATTTGTAAGCACTGTTTAATTTGCTGGCTCTGGAAGCTGAAATGTTTGCTTTGTTGCAAAGAGCAAGCATTGTGTGAACACCAGATAAAACAAATTTCCTTTGGCTGCTCTTTCAGTCTGAGGAACAAAGGAACAAAACCTTTAAGGATCAAAAGGTAAATTATATTTTGTCTCTATTCAGTGTTTGGGATTGTCAGCAATGATGCTAATTATTGCCTTCTGTGCTGCAAATGATCTCCAAATCCTATGAGACTCAGAACACCATTTCATTTTACACAGGCCAGTGAACAAACATCAGATGGTGACAACCTTCAGTTATTACTCAGTTGGGCAATATTCATGTTCATGAAATCTTATACCCTTTTTCCACCAGTTACTTCTGCTTATTCCTTATTCTCCTGCTATTTAAAAACAATTCTATTAAAAAAATAGGTTACTTCAAAAGCTATTAAAATGAATAATTCGACTCAAATGAAATGGTGATTGGAAGGGGATATACCTTTTCAGTAATATTGCCTGCTTTTATTTGCTTTCTTTTTACATTTAGTATTCTGGGACTTGAGAATTCAGCTTGTTCAAGACTGAGGGACTCCATGCTCCTCAAACACAATCTTAGAAAATTCTAAGGGTCAGCACAGTCTTTTCTGTTTAAAATTCCAACAGAAATAGTTGTATAAATCTTAGATCCTATCCTTAGTAATATAAGTGACACTAATCTTACCCAGTCAAATTCTACTCTGAAAATATTGTGTGAACATGAGGGTTAATAACCACTCTTCTTTGAACTTGAAGAAAGAAGTGATTAAGTCATCCAAAAGAATATGTGCTAGCTCCAAGCAGCCACCAAGCACTGGGCTGAGCACTCTGCTGAGGTAGAGGTGGTTCATCAAATTTTTGTATTGTAATTAAGACTTGCACTTAACTAATGGTGCTGGCTACTTTTTTTATGCATTAAACATTAGCTGACAGCAAGCTGAAGCATTGCTTAGTCTCTTAAGCAGTCTTAATATTTTTAGTCCCCCACCTGATGAGTTGACAAGGTTTTCTTAGTATTTGAGAACAGTGAGTATATGTGCCAAGTAAACTGCTATTTATAAAATTTATATTACTGTTCCGCTGGATTTTCAGACAATGAAGAAAATGGATTAAGCAACAAGGACAATAAAGCTTACTTCACATGTTTCTTTCTGTTGCTTGAAAATTCCAGACACTCTGCTTCATTTCAGAGCAATGCAGAATATAAATTGGACTAATTCCTCTGAAATCTGACTCAAAACCTAATTTTAGTTACATTTATTCCTAAATTAGTTTAAAATGAGTTAGGCAAAACTAGAGTTAAAAAATCCAAACAATTGGACAAAATGAGGGAAGAGCAGTACTCCCTCATTTCACTGAGTATTCAAGGCCAGGCTGGATGGGGCCTGAACAACCTGGAGTAGTGGAAGGTAGCCCTGGCCCTGGCAGGGAGATTGGAAGGAGAAAATCTTTAGGGTCTCTTCCAACCCACACCATTCTATCACTCTATGATTCTACTATTCAAACTTTAGTTTCAAGACAGTCTGAGAGACCCATACTGCTATCACATGTATATTCATAAATTTTGTTCTGAGGCATTCTCATTCTAAATTTATTAAAGAATGCAAATGCACACAGTAAAAACCAAAGACCTAGAAACAAAGAAGCATAATAGCATATGAATAAATCATAGCAGAAATAATAAATTATTAATGCCACCATGAATTGTTAAATAAATATTTCTGCCAAACCATTGCATGCATTAACAGTATGGTTTCCTGGTTATTCTACCACTTGGTGAGAGCAAGTCTAGGACAGGGCTGCACCCAGGCTCTTTAAGTGACTATAGAGCTAAGTAAAGCACATGAACATGGAAAAGAACCAGGAGCCATTCCCAATGCATTCAAGAAGCACTGCACTCATCCCTTGAACATACTGCAATTGCATTGACCAAATGCAAAATGCAAGTTATTCAGAAAATATTGAACATTTTTTACCTCTGTTAAGAAGTCACAATATTTTTTGTGCTGTTTATTTCCAAACAAACAGAAGATAGGTGACTAATGTACACTCACAGAAAGAATATGTAACATTCACAATCTAGGTAACACCTTTCATCTCAGACAGAAGTACTGCACATCCAGAAAATTTGAACAAAGAACAATGTTTGCAGGTGACAAAATATCAAAAAAGGTATAAGGGCTTGAGTGAAACTGAACAAATTTTAGGTAGATGGACACAGATATCTGTGTGAAAAGTAGATGTGGAAGTTTGATGGTTGCAATCATTAATAAATTAGATGGTACTTTGCTATATCTCATGACCAAGTGTGCCTCATATGAAGTGTATGTATATTTAAATGGTGTAGTTATATTCAGTACTAAATACTGTTTTGTCACTGCTGCTTTTGCAAAAGATTAATTAAAGTAAATCTTGTACTGACAAGGTTAGCTACTGCATAGCACCTTTAATGTTAAGAGAATTTCATAAACATTTAATAAAGTTCAAACTATAAATATAGTCCCAAATTACTTTGGGAACTTTAAAATAAACATTTATCTCATCCGTAAAACATCTTGTGTAAAACTATGGAAGATGGTACCTGTTAAAATACAATGTTGCAATATTTATTTCTAGGAAATACTATATGACATGAAAAAATATTATTTTGCCAATGTGTTGCTGCACTCACTTAGCAGTAGTCCAAAGCTAGGCACACAGCCCTGAGAACCGAGTGGATGATCACTCCTGCATCCTTAAGCCAGGAAGGATGTAGCAAATCTAGAAACACTTCAGCTCCTCATCTGCTGAGAGACTCGAATATCTACTATGATTTAAGGAACTCATTGAATAAAGGATATTCAACATCAAAATATGAAATTACATGAAAATGTAAAGAAGAAACTGAACCATGATAATTGTATTGTAAACATTGTCGTAGCTAGTGGAAAAAAAAGGAAAGAATTTGGAACATCTGTCTCTTTAGATCTAATCCAAATACACAATACAATGTCTTCCTTTTTAAAGGTAGTTTTGAACTAATTTTCAGATCTTTATCAACAAGGCTAATAACAGTATTGAACAGGAAAAACTTGGAAAGGAAAAGAAATGAGAAACATGAATCAGACTTGTCAGCAAAGGCCATATTCTTGTAATTGGCGGTTTTTGTCCTGACCTTAAATCAGAATGATAGAGGACTCAAAATGAGGCAGTATTGCTTCAGCTTTAAAATGATTTTAACAGATTTTATGGAAATTTCTTCTCTTGAAGTAACCTCTCCTGTCTCTCTTTTCTCCTGTGTATTAGTTCTATTGAAGCTGCCAAGCTATAACTAGCAAGTACATCTCTTTACTTTTCCTCTCTATTCATACCATTACCATGAGACATCTACAGACTGGACCTCCTAAGGAGATTTCTGAATCTAAAACCAACTAAAAATAAATATTACACGAGTATTTATGAACAAATGGAATTTAAATTAACATTGACTTTCTGATAGTAGGCATTACCTAATTCCCCGAAAGACTTTAATGGATTTTCATATTTCAGTCATCTTGATGATTGTCTTCCTTATGCAGACATGAACAATTAAGAAGATTACACCAGTACTAAAAGAAAGCTGAAGTGCTCTTGATTTGGTGCAAACACAGCATTACATAAGGCTTTCACATACCAGCTTTACAAGGTATTTTTACATGTAAAAGATATTTTTGCATGTCTTTCAAAGGACAGCTAAAAAGAACATCTCCTGAAATACTAATGGTAGGGAATGTTAATAATACTTGCCTTCTTGTCTTACTCTCTGTGTCTTTACTAAAGGTTTTTAAATCATGTAATGTGTTTGTTTGTATATAATGCTGAATGCTAAAACACTCTGTGAGACAGTTTGTAGTAAAGTAATGAAGTCTTATACAGAAGGTTTTTCTTTTTCTTTTTCCCCTACATCCTCATATTCACCAAATGTTATTTTAGGTAGGTATTGAAACAGAACTGCTAGTAGTGGTGGAACCTGAAAATTCAAAGATTATCTGAGTGTAATTTATTTTAATGTATTTTGTTCTAGATATCAATCTGTCTCACAGAAGCTTGTTTGAGAGAAATGGGACTTCCTCAGAGTGCTAAGTGCCTTGCTGAGGCCATGAAGGGCTGAACTTTCATGAAGTTATCAAATAATTATACATCTTATTCAGCTAAACATATTTACATACACAGCAACCCAAAATCTTCAAATGGTTAAAGAAACATGCGTGTCTCATTGTCAAAACAGTAGAACAGCCTTTTTCTC